GATGTTGCTTTGTATTTATCTTAAGATAATAACCTAACATAAGATAGTTGTTGCAGTTGTTTGGTGATTGTCCTCATATTTATACTAAAGAAATAATAATGTTCTCTAGTGCTATACAACATGAAGAAAATCTTAGTACTGTGGTCATACTGCTGCATATAGTAGTTGCAATGTGCCTTGCATAATAAGATCCATCCACAGATTGCAATAAAACATCCACAGAAACACTCATCTAGACCTGTGACTAGTCAAGATGCTCATAGCACAGAGAGTAAAAAAAATTGACCAGAAATTTGTATATTGCAGCCTTCAGAGGTAAAAGTATTGCAAAGGCAAATGTCACAATAGCGATTAATAATGACTGATTGTGCAGCCCTACTGTGCTGCATTATTCATTGTCTCATCATGAAAAATTATTATGACACAATTAGGTATTATTCAATATCAGTAATGATGCCTTTATATCGAAACTGGTTCCTGAACAGTAATTTTTGCGATACTTTAAATTACAGGCAATACATGGGTGTGGCTTACAAACAAAGTGTACAGAAGTGGGCGCAATGTATCTACAAGCACTGACATAAATAAAATACATAAAGAATGTAATTTAGACACTGAAATTTGGTATTGAATGAAAGAGTTCTTCGATACTTGGTGGTATTGAAGTAGTTCAGTCAGTACCAGAAAGGTATTGAATTTTTAATGCTCAGCTCTTGACACAATTGTCATGACAGGCTAAAGACAAATGGTGGACATACATGAACACTTGAGTCATTATGTTACTAAGAAGTTTTTTCTTCCCTCTACAGAAGGTGAAGACAACTTTGACCAGGAAGCAGAGGATGACGTTCTTTCCTCCCCCCGCCCCTCAGCCGCCCGACCCCAGCCGGCTCCATCCGAGCCCCGCCCCTCCCTACCTGCTCATCTGCCCTCCTCCATTCTCCCCTCGCACATCTCTGTTCAGCACAAGCCCTCAGCCCCTGCCTCGGCCACCCTGTCCCAGCCCCAGGCCGCCGCGGTGACCCCTCAAGCCATTGCCCCGGCTCCACCCCTTCAGCCCACCGTCATCGCTCACGCCTCTGTTTCGCATGCCTCCGTCATCCAGGCCGTCAACCACGTGCTTCCGGCCGCCTCTAAGCACCTGGCCCACATAGCGCCCTCCGGTGGCGGCGGCCAGCCTATCGGACACATCACCGTGCACCCTGTGGCCCACCTCTACCCGCAGCCTGTGGCTGTCTCCCAGCCCGCCATGGTGGGTCACATTACACACACGCTGGCCCACCACCCCCAGACCCACGGCCAAGTCAATGGCACGTCAGCGGCAGCAGGTCAGCAAGGGGCGGTGGTGGGGAAACCCACGGCGGTGGTGGCCCACCATCACACAGGTTTAGTGGGGCAGACGGTGCTCAACCCAGTGACTATGGTGACCGTGCCGCCTTTTCCTGTCAGCACACTTAAGCTAGCCTGAGGCAGAGCAGGAGAAAATGAACTGTGTGAAATGTTGCTGTTTTGGGTTGCATGACATCTCTTGCAGGCCATGATGAACATCTGGATGTTCCTCATGACAGTACTGACAGTCAGCAAACAGAACTTCTTGTGCGTGACTACAAAATGTAAGAGTAGCTCAACCAAACATGCTAATGTAGCTAACAATGAACGGAAGCCAGTAGACAGAATTAGGGTGACATAATTTACATAATGCTGATTGACGGCAGTTCACTTTTATTTACTGTTAGCAGCCTTTAGTATTTCTGACTGAGCTATTGCTTTAAAGGAGTAGCTCAACCAAACATGCAAATTTGGCTAACAATTTACTTCTAGCCACCAATTAAATTAATTCACATATTGCTAGTTAGTTGCTGTTTACTTTCATTCATTTTAACAACATTAGCATTTGTGACTGCACTGCTCCATTAAGTGCGGAGCTGTAACAGAAGGGGACTTGAATGCAAATGTTTAATGCACTTACAAAGCCTAAAAATCATGAAACCCCTGGATGTTGGTTCTTAATGAGCAAATGGAGTACTCAAAACAAGGCATCTTTTCCTCCGCCTCTCCGTCCTTTCTTCCTTCTCCTCAGATCAACTAACATACTTAAACTTCTCAGGCATCAGACTTTCTCGTCCAGTCACCAAAAAAATGACAAAAATGTCAAAAAAAAACAACCAACAAACAAGAAAAACAGCAGAGACCAGAGATTTGTGGCAAAATGGATTGTTTGGCTTGCATTTGTCTTGTTATTATTGCAGAAAATCTTAGTAATAACAGACCTTAAACTGGGTAAACAGATCATATATACATAAAATAAAAATATATACATATACAAGTGCCTAGCCCCTGGTCTTAGTCCAATGGCGCCCTCTGCTGCCTAAACATGGTTTGAGCTGAATTTTCAGAAGGATTACATGTCCTTTTTTTAATCAATGTCATTTGCAGATGGTGATCATTTGCAACCAGTTGCTGCACTTCAGATATACACTGTCTGTAGAATGAAATAAAAAAAGTCAGCAACAGGAAGAGCTTTGGGAACATTCAAAGCATTCAGGAAAAGATACATTTGGGCATTTATAACCACAAACTTAATCCTGTGCTAAGAATTTCTTACATTCTAGTGATTATAACATTTGTGTTATCACTTTAGTATCAGTTGTTATCAGTGTATCACATGCATACATACAGTACCGATGTGATAAACCACTGAACTCAGTCTGTTTTCCAAAACCAAGTCTTCTAATGGACACTGACTCACACAGAGAAGCAATCCGATGTCGTCGTAGTAGTTCTAGCAGTCGTATGGATGTCAGTATATATGTAGGGTGTATGTCTTTATCTTCTTTGCAGAATATCCACCTGTTGCATGGTCATGTTTATGTGTTTTTTTTTTTTTCTTTTTAGTTCTTTGGTGTGTTTGTATACTTTGAAAAGGTGGTTTTGTATGTATGAACGTTTAGACTTCGTGAAAATCATTTTTTAATTTTAATTTATCTTCCACTTTGGGTTAATAACTTGTAAACCCACTCATGTATGTCTCAACTTATTCATGTCACACTTCTGTTGCTTCCCTATGGTACCTTCCACAGTTAGGCTAGTTAATACTCGCAGTAATCGCTTCTCTATCAAAACTCTCACCCAAGTTTTACTTAGTGTTGCGAGTGCAGCATAAGAAACCCTCCTAAAGGTAGTGCAACGTACTGTGTCTCATTGCTACGTACTATCACTTTCAACCAGAACACTGTGATGCCCTGCTTTTAACTTCCAACCCCGCTTCCTACAAAACCACGCAAGTCTGAGGCTTTGGTTTACATACCTAGATTAGAAAGACGGAATTTTGTGCTTCTGTCCACTTTAGATGTGAAATCTTTTCCCTAAATTTGGTGACCGAAAGAGAGAGAGAGACATGCTGTACTTCGTGTTCAGTAAACAAAAAAACATTAGCCTGATCTGAGTAGTTTTTTTCTTTATTTTTTTCTTTAATTTTTAATATGTCTGTGTATGTATGTGTATATATTAATATGTGATGTATATGCACGCATTCACATATACGTGTGTGTATTTTGATGATTATACCGTTGCCTGGTTTTGCATGTAGATTGCAACTTTTGGTTATTGTTGATTTCCTCCTCCCCCCCCTTAATTTTTTGGGACCATGTTTAATACTGTATGATGTGGTGGGGACCATTTAGACCTCATTCTACATTGATATTATATATAAATATATAAAAATCTGCATTTTCCCTATGGAGAAAGTTTAAGTTATATATCGCCTGTACATTTTGGGCTGCATTAAAATCTAATTGTCCACCATGTTTAAAAGAAATAACAGTAATAAAGTAATGTTGAAATATGCTAGATTAATTAAAAACCATAATGACTATTCATAATAAATCTTATGACATTTACAAAACTATTTGTCCTGTATTTTTTTAACGTTACATTATGTAATCTAAAATCTGACATTTCAAATGTCATTTTGTGTGTTCACATAGATAAAACATAAAGAACAAAAATACCTTAAAATGAAAGAATATTTACATTTCAGCATATCCATTTTGTCCATTTTTTTTATTTTTCTACCATCTTTTGAACACAGCAGCTGCTCTTTATACTGTGGGAAAATCTTATGATGAATGGACCTGTGGAAATTCTACAAAATCACTTGGAATAAAACCTCTTTACATTAACTTGCATCAAATGTTAAGAATATTTATATCTTCTCCTGTAAAGTTACTATTTTGGTGATGCATGTTTTTCTTTGGACAGCGACGATGTGGAAGCTATAAAACTACAGTGCTGTATCCAACATTATTGCCAGATAGAAATCTTTCCCTGACTTCTTTCCTTAGATTCTGTAACACAAAAAAGCTAATAACACATTTAAGAAGTATATATTTGTCTACAGCACACGTTAAAAACTTAGATTTAAGGAATAAGATTATATAAACTGAACCCTTGGATGTCATGAGTTATAACTTTTGTTTTGCTATACTGTTCAATTACACCTTTATCTAAAAAGTGAGATATACACACACACACACACAAACCACTCATCCTTCTGGGTTACAGGGGGAGCTGGCGCCTATCCCAGCAGTCATTGGTTGGAAGGTAGGATACACCCTGGACAGGTCGCTGGTCCATCACATGGCAGACGGACAGACATATACATTCACACCTAGGGGCAATTTAGCATGTCCGACTGGCCTGACAGCACAGAAAGGACCCTGGTCTCCCGGCCGTGAATTGAATCCAGGCCCTTCGTGCTGTGAGGCGACAGCGCTACACACTGCACTGTGAGGTAAGCAATGAATTACATTTGACTTGCATTCTGTATTGACAGCTTTGAGTCTGCACTTCTCACTTGTTTTCGTTTGTTTTAATGTCAAGCAATGACACATTCAGAAATGAGAAGGATGTGCTTTTCTTTCACAAAACAAGACTGTACAACAACGTCTGATTAAAATCAAAATAAATTATAATAAGATATCTCTTAAGAATCTGCACTTTGGACAGAATTTCTCAACTAGTTTCAATGAGCTACTAGTGAGGAATTATTCACATTATATTACACCATGCTTTTATTTAACACCAATAACTGTGACTTGTAAGGGTTAAGTAAACCCCGTGGTAAGGGTTAAGTGATCTGTCCTGCAGGGTCATTCCTGCAAGCTAACTGTCTGGCCTTTCCACTCAGATAATCAGAAAGGACTTCACTGGAATAACCTGAAAGATTTCACAGCCTACGTTCATTTTCAGTGCCCATGCCGCATCTGCTCTTGGATCCTCTGCAGCACCTCTTGCATCCTTCGCAGCTGCAGGAAAAATGAACACAAAACCCAAATCACATTCAGTAAAAGAACTGATCGAATAATACAGCACCATTGACGTTTTAATGCAGGGCATTAATTTTTTTAATCAGATTTATTTATTCACCCTCCAAACACACATACACCAGACATGCATCTTTATATGTTGATTGGCTGTATTTATTAAAAACATGCTGATCGGTGGCTGTATCAGATGTATTTGAACCACATACTGGTAGCACCTGAGAGTGGTGCTCAAACAAAAAGCTTGAAAAGAAAGGAAGTACCTCACAAGAGCAGACTTTTTTTTTAAATCTTAAAATAATAGGATTTTTAGTTCACTATCTGTGGCAGTGTACATTTGAAACCCTGACCTTCACGCAGTAATGGAGAGATGATGAATGGTACTGCAGAAGGTCGCTGACGGGCGGTGGTGGCATTTGCACCTTCATTAAAAACAAACATTTGGAGTTTTTGTACGCAGTCTGATGTTTGGAGTGTGGTAACGTTAAGCATTGATTTTGCTGGTTGTTGGCCATGTGACTTCCTCTTACCATGCTTATTAAATCTGCTGTAATCTATCCACATCAGTCAGGATGGAACTCAGTTGTACTGTGTTGAGCTAGACTGATTTTATAGACCTTAAATACACCTACAGGGCCCACAAACAGAAGTGCCCCATCTACCACCTATAAACGTTTTTTTTTACTTTGTGCTGAACATGTTTGTATTCCAAAAAAACAATAGAAAGATTTCAATTTCTAGCTCATTTTTCTTTAGACTCATTTTCTGAATTACCTACATTTTGCTATTTAAACATTAAGGATTACATTTACAGATCAATTCAGTTAAAACCTTTAGAGTACACTACTTGTCCAAAGGTATCCATACACCTCTAATTAGTGAATTCAACTACTTTAAGGTGCTCCTATTGCTGCTAATAGAATGGGACGCTCTAGAGCAGCCACACATGAGCCTAAGCTCACTATTCCAAAAGAAAAGTGTCAGTTAGAGGGATATTAAGACCCTCAACACTGGGCTGTGGAACAGAGGAACTGCATTCTCTGGAGTGATGGAGCTCCATGCAATGCCTTTGGGATGAGTTAGAGTGATGTGTGTGATCCAGAACTGATCACCCAACATCAGTAACTGACCTCACTGATGCTCTTGTGGCTGAATGTAATCAAATCATTACAGCAATGTTCCAACATCTAATATAAAACCTTCCCAGAACAGCAGAGGCTGTTAGTGCAACAAAGACAGACAATCTCCCTATTAATACCCTTAATTCCAGAAGAAATGTTGTCTGAGCAGGTATATAGTGTATCATGGTAATGGTCAGTGGGAGTGGCTCTATGTCAGATTTTCCATGGAAGCCCCCTGGAGCTAATCAACAGCCCTAATGACTTAATTAAGCCAATTATACTTTCTTACCTCCTCATCTTTCTCCCAAATGAGGCGCTCTGTTTCACTGTCCACCGGCACCAGAGGTAAGTCTGAGGCGCTCTCTCTCAGATGGTTACACAGACTGCCACAAGTGGAGAGACAGAAACATGGACCATAATGTGAATACATGTGATCCTCAGCCAAATAAACACATTTAACTTTGCAAGAATAAGGTAGCATTGTAAAGTCTTAAAGGGCCCCACATCCTTTACCTTATATTATATTTTTGACACTTAAATATTATGTGTATGACGGTGTGTGTGAGAGAGTATGAAAGTGTGTGTGAGAGTATTATAGTGTGCGATAGAGTATGACATTGTATGAGAGTATCGTAGTGTGTGTGTGAGTATCATAGTGCGTGTGATAGAGTGTGTGAGAGTATCAAAGTGTGTTAGACGGTTGATAGCGAGTGTGAGAGAGTATGACTGTGTGTGAGAGGTCTGATAGCGTGTGTGAGAGAGTATGATGGTGTGAGTCAAGTCTGAACATTGTTCTAAAGGGTCTCTCAAATGGAAGTATCTGAGCAGTGGTAAAGTTCTGGGTGGGTCTTTCTAGAAGGCAAAGGGAGACATCACAACTGACCAAAAACCTCTACATTCAGGCTAACCTTCTTGCAGTTTAGCTCTAAACCAGAAGAAACCCAACTGATCTGGCTAATCACTCTTCAGGATGAGTGTAGGTGACCACATGTTTCTGGGTTGCTGACCTGCGTTTTCGCTCTCTGACCACCATGCGGGTCATGTTCTGGATGCACTGAGCCCGGTAGTTCTCGTAATGCGTTTCTCGCGTCACGTCCTTCAGGTCCTGCATGTGTGTGCGCACCAGCATGTTCCTCAGCTTCAGGAAGTCCGAGTGGGCAGGGTTCTCCACTAAAACAGCAGTAAATTCACATCACTGTTACATAGTGCACATTAGATGGGCCATTACACAATAAAATGAGTGCATGATTAAATCGTGTCTGATTCAGCAGGCATTAAACACAGTCTGGCAAGATGATGCGGTCTAGTATTATTTCAATTCAGGGAAGTGTCCCACTTTCATTCTGAGAAACCTTGGGCAAATATTCTGTTAACCAATGCATGTTAGAGACAGAAAAAGCGCCATGAGTCATGTAATACCATTAAAGAAGCACTGAAGAAAATGCACAGAGAGCATAATGGGTCTGAGTACCTTCCACCACACCCCAGGGATACATGCGGCCCCGGAACCTCCTGCCTTTGCTTTCGACAAGAATATTGCTGCCCACCACAGCAAAGGGAATACTGTCCTTTGGAGAGGAGAGCACACAATATTCAAACCAAAAAGGCTCCAAAAAACACTCTGAACAAATATGATGGTTTATTTTAGGTTGCTAAAGTAATGACAAAAAAAGCCATTCAGACTATTTCACCATTGTGGCAGAGAGCTTGCGTTTGCTCAGTGTAGACTAAAGAAATACTTGTGTTTTACAATCTAATCTCTGTCTGTCTCGTCTGTCGCATATAGTTGATTACCACAAACAGTAATTATGATTTTCTCTGTACAATAACTACAAACCTGCTGACTTGAAGTCCACTTATAATGGCGTGGGAGGAGTTTTCAGAGGCTCCACCTTACTGCTGCAGATACTGTTAAAAAACTTAGGGAATGTAAGAATAACCGAAAAATAGAGCATTTGTCTGAACCTGATGGAACCTGACTACTCACATGGAGTCAGTTTCAGTCTCACTTTTAACAGATTTTACCCTGCGTTTCCCCCACTCTACAGTTTTTGAACTGGCACCCATTCAAATTGTTGGGAGAATTTAGTACAAAATTTTGTTTGCTTGCAAAAAAAAAAGGAATTAAACAACAAAATCAATTCACCTGAGTACATTTCAGTTCAGCCAGAAGGTTGTTTGTGATGAATCCTGCTAACTCAACATCACAGTGCAAGAACACTGCATTATGGAAAGTTTATCCAGACTAAAAACATCTGAGATGTAAATTTGTTAACGAAGAATTTAAATGTAATTTTGGACACTATGATTATTTAATCATATATTAATTTTGGTGAGACTGATGATTTTTGGCTATGCATCTACCTGGTGGAATAGCTAGAAATGTCAGGTTTTGTTCAGCAGCTTGGGGTTTATTTTGAGTTTCAGACTTGATGATGTGGGTCAGGTCGGACTGGGCTTGGACAAAAATTTATTGCTATATTCGGGCTGGGACCCGAAAAATCTCAGGCCCAATTAAAGCTCTAACCACAATTGCAAAAGGTTGTTCCTAAATTCACTGAACACTATTCCAGTGTTCAGGAATTCATGATAAAACGTCATAAGAACAGCTTTGGTAAGACATTCTCTCACGTCTGTCTCACCGTATAACCTGTATTTTTGAAAGTGTAACAGCTATTTCAAATGTGTGTTATATAGTCACACATTTGAAAGGTTTATTCATGGAATTCAGCAGCTGCCCAATCGCTTCTGCTATAGCTGAGTTTCGAGTCAACAGGATTTCTCTTCTCTCCCATGTCCAGAAAAACATGTTTAATGTATTGTCTATGGTAATCAACTGTATTTTACAGATGTGGCAGATAAAGATTAAGCAGAAAATTGTTATCCTATAAAAAGACTGGTTTTAGCTGACAGCATCTAAAAGTTTAATGGATTCATTTTAAATTGCTTACTTTGAGCTCTTGGTCCTGGAGTCTGAATTCTTCATCCTCGTCTGAGTCACACTCAGGAAACTGATAGATTTTGATCCCAAATGTCTCGATCTCCTCTCGAATCTACAAGGAGACAAACATGTAAGGACTCTCATCATGTGTTCACAGAGCCATAAACTCACACTTTATTGTGACATATGCATCAAATGTTGAAAACGCATAATATATAATACATAATGTACAATTTAACTAAAAAACACCTTTATTTTCTTCCGGGTCAGTTCCCTTGGTGTGAGGCAGTCTGCTTTAGCCAGCACAGGCACAATGTTGACCTTCTCATGTAGCGCCTTCATAAACTCCACATCAACAGGTCTAAGACTGAAGAGTGAAGGAATTTATAGTTGTGTAATGTGTTTAGAGCTGTGTTGTACATTATTATATGCAGTATTATATATAATACAATACAATACAGTATCTTACAAGAGACAGTAAGATATAGGTAATGTATTCAGTACTACACCAATTGCTACTTAATAATACATGAACGATGAAAACCTCCTTGTCTATAAACACATTATTTGCACTTTGTCTTACCCGTGGCCATAAGGTGAGATGAAGTAGAGGCAGCAGTGCACTCGGTTGTCCTGAATGTTCTTACGGTTTAAGCCACTTTCATCCCTGAAGTACTGCTCAAACTGCTGGTCAATATAATCCACTACTGCCCTCCAGCTATCACAAATATACATAAGAACTATGGTTAGGATCTGCCAGATGAGTCTTCCACCTAGTGTTTCTCTTATTTAAACATTTCATCACCTCTCTGTGTTGTTGACCGCATCTCCAAACCCTGGTGTGTCCACAATGGTGAGCTTGAGTTTGACTCCCTTCTCCTCAATGCCAATCGTATGTTTGGTGATCTCCACTGTCTGGGTGATCCTCTCTAAGTGCAGAGTAAATAAAGCAAATGTTTGCACTGCCTTCATGTAGTAACTACAGATTTTACAATAAGTATATCTGATCACTTTGCAAAGTGTGTATCCTATACACAATAACTTACAAATTACTGACATGATGAAAGCTATGTTACTAAACTGGGACTATAAATCTCAGACCTCACAACAATTCAACTTGATTATGATTCTTTAGTGAAACAACACAATACATTACAAAATCACAAGAATTCCTACAATCCGATTTGATTATCTTGCCATTAAAAACTGACTTAATATATCAATGTGACGTGATGTAGTATGTAAACACTGTTAAAATTTTGAAACATAGGACTCATTCCAGAGGCCATACAGCCTACAGCCTTTTGCAAATATTTGAATGCCTCTGGTCAGGCCACATTGTTTTTCCAAATGTGTTAAATTCAGTAAATAAACAGTAATTGTGCATTAAAATGTGCAGAAGTGTGTTCTCTGTAGAGGATGTGTTAACTTATTTTCTCTCTAACAAAACATGTAATTTGACCAGGGATGACCAAACTTTTACACACGACTGTATACAAGGAAATTAAGCAGCCCATTTTGAATTTGTTAGCCATGTCTCAAAGTCAAGGCTGGGTTTCTGCTTGGTTTTCTCAGTTTTCTTAGTCTGATACACAGTAGCTGCTTTACTTGCCCAACAACAGCATGATACGTTTTTAAATGTTATGGTTAAAAACATTAAATCAAAATGTACATTTCATAGTATTACTTTACAAACAAAAGCTGCAGCATCTCGCTACTTGATTTCTCAGAAACAAAGGGCGCCTTTCTGAGCTGCATTTAAGGGATGTTACAGAAAGGGAGAGACTTCAGTGATGTAGCAACTGAGAAATCCTTGGCTTTGAAATACAGCTATTGTTTCTTTGATGTCACAGAAACCAACACATTTACATCTATCCACCCATCCAAACTACATTTGCCTTTGAAAGAAACAGATACTTCAAATCAAGGATGTCCAATCTTATCTGCAAAGGTCTAGTGTGGCTGCAGGTTTTCATTCCAAATGAGCTGAAGTACACCTGATTTTATTTGTTTAATCAGTTGGTCTCAGTCTTCAAACAACTGATCATGTGCGCTCCTGCTCTGTTGAAATGAAAACCTGCAGCCACACTAGCCCTTTGCGGATAAGATTGGACACACCTACTTTAAATGCTATTTTAATTGATTATAATCAATTCTAAACATATAAAAGTGTAAATGTTATTTCAATTAACTGTTTAATATGCCTGCACTAAACTGTCAGGGAAATGCTTGCATTTTATTTCAGTATCTTTACAAATGAGACCTTTCTGACTTACCCTCAGCATTCAACACTTTCCTGTCCTTGTAGAGGTCTGTCAGGAAGAGGCTGTTGATCAGTGTGGATTTTCCTAAACCAGACTCCCCTGGTGTCACAAAGAAATATCAGATTTAGAGCAACTGCATGCATATTTTAATACAATAACTTTTAGCTGTGACCCTGTTTAGACTTAGCATCAGCTGTAAGGTACATCAAACTTACCAGCTACCATAAGTGTAAAGGCAAAGCCCTTCTTCACTGATTTTCTGTGTACTTGGTTAGGCAGTGTTGCAAAGCCCACGTATTCCTTATCTTGATCCTGAAAATAATTCCACAGTGACAGACATATGAGAATGAGAATGACCCCTTACACATAGCATGACTTCAATTTTTATTATAAACCATCAGAATATGATCGCACAACTGAATCAGCATATAAATCACTGATCTTGAACTACAACATAAATTTAACTCCTTAAACTTTAAGCACCTACTGCAGATCCAGGCTTCCTTTCTATACTCTTATAACTACATACCTTAGATAACAGTTTCACAGCAGTTACTGAATAATTCCTTGTATTTACTGGATATTATAAAACAGATAAGATGATCTGATTGGCTGAGCCATTATATCCACATATGACTGCACAAAGCATTGAAGTCTGTATCAATGACCCACATTATTAAAAAAAACCATTATGCTTAATGTTATTAAGGCTTATATTAAAAGCCTTGAGTTTAATGGGTTCAAATCTTGTGACTCTGAAACATCATACCTCAATGGAGTCATAGGGATCGAATCTGCTCCAGGGGCTTTTGGATCGTGATGGACTCAGTGGAGACTCCAGTGAGCTGGTGGAGCTGAGTTGGCAGCGGCGCAGCAGCTCTGGCTCTGAGCCCAGCAGATTCCTTCCTCCTGCACGCATGAAGGTGGGTGTCCCAGGAGTGTGGGGACGAGCGCTGCTGTCTGGTTCCCTGTCCATGAGGGGCGTCTCCCGGCCAGGGAATGTATGGCCCGCCCTGGGGGGCAGATCTCTCATGGTATAGCCCAGCTCTACATCCACGGGATCCTCTATAGCTAAACTGGTCAACTGAAGTATGGAGCAGATAAAATAAGTGGAATACAAGCCGCATCATTCAGCTTTATGCCTTTAGAGACAATTTAGTGGAACATATAAGCAGCCCACACCATTTCACCCTTAAACAAAACTGTAACAAAGCTTTGAAACTTCACTGTGCTTTTTTCCATGTTTTTTACTTTTGCATTGCACATAAAGTGGCAAAAGAACTATGAGATAATTGATCAACTGCAGTCACTTTCAAGTGAGACTAAATGGGAATTCTACCCTTTTCTAAAATGACTGCATGATTAAATAGTTAAGATGTAAACAAAGTTGTTCAGAGAAGTGAAGTGCTGTTCTAGAGAAACTGGCCTAAGTGAGAACTGTACACATGTAAGTCCACTACAAGAACCAAGCAGCCAATTGTCCAATTACATTTGGTCCTCTAAAGTGGCAGGACTATGTATATAAATGGCTGTAACAATTGTATGTTTCACACCATATGGACACAACCATGGATATTAAGGCTGACTGAAATACTCATCTGTGGCTGCATGATTTGTTAGCCCCCGTTACCCCATCCATCAACGGAAAAGGACCACCACAGGGCCACTGCGGACCAGATATTATTTGGTTGGTGGATTCAGCACAGCAGTGATGCTGATATGGTTGTGACGTGGCAGTATGTGTTGTGCTGGGTGACCTTGTTGTAGATATTACAAATGTTAGACATGCACCATTTGTGTCAGTCATCCTCTAGCCTTTCATAGGTAGTCAGTTGCTGACCACAGGACCAATGTTGGCTGGATGTTCTTGGTTGGTGGACTTTTTTAGACCCAGCAGTGACACTGAAGTGTGTAAAAAACTGAGCCTGCTCTGTCTGATACACAAACATGCCAGAACCATGCCAAATAATATCTAGTCAGCAGTGGTCCTATGGTGATCCCTTTCCACCGATGGAGAGAGTAAAGGGGTCCTACGGTGATCCCTAAATTGTGCAACAACAGATTAGATACAGTCAGCAAATGTAAACCTACAAACTGTGCCTATATGGCAGGTGTTTCTGACAAAATTGCCAATGAGTATGAATATTCACGTGCTATTTTTGTTACTTTCTACAGAATCTGTATATAGCAGATTAAATGGTTAATGTGTCAACAAAGTCATTCAGAGTGGTTTGATGCAAAATGCTCAGTTCTAGAGAAACTTACAGAGTCGGAACTGTTCATAGTGGTGGTAATAGGAACCAGATGTCTGAAACATTTAATACCTTTTTAACCTCTTTCACAGAAAGTTATTACATGAAATTATTACAAATATGTCGACTGATGCCAGTGACTCTGTTTTACGACAGTTTTGAGAACGTTCTGACATGAAACATACAGGTTTTAAGGTTTTGACATAATTTTTTTTATCCATGCTTGATGGAGAGGTGCAGGGTGTTGCAATGCAAAACAGTACCCAAAGAAAATGCATTAGCTTCAGATTACCGCCACAGTTGTAAAGAGCAACAGAGTTAGTTAAGTTTCTCTACAATGCATCGTTCATTTTACATACAAACTACTCTTAGACTTTACTTATTTAGTGATTGTATAATGGAGAAATTTGAAACATTAGTGGGGTTCCCCTTTAAGTGCAACATGTTACCACTCTTAATGCTGTAAGCAACGTGATCCTGTGTTGAACCTGTCACTTCTTATTAGTCAGCACCCACTACAGCCTGATTAACGCCTCACACTAATGCTCTGATCTGCAGTAAGACCTCGCAGAGGTGGGGGTGGTGCTCATATCTACCACAAAAACAGAGAATATGCACGTTTCCACTTTTCTAGTTTACAGTTTACTATGTCCATACCTCGGGATCTTGTTCGCGTGCATTGGCAAGCATGTAAAGAACGGACAAAAAGACCAATCAACCGTTAGAAATATTAGGCTGCGTCTCAAATGGCTCCCTACTCCCTACACAGTGCACTCCGGGACTCATGGAAATTTGGCTTATTCACTCGAACAGTAAATGTCCAGTAGGGAACTGAAATCCTGCAGGGATACGAGGAACCAACTTGCTCATTATTGGACATATTATACTCTGTGTATGTATTAGTTTAAGACCTACGTAGGGCACTTCGTACAGTGTAGGAAGCCATTTGAGATTCAGCCCCAGTCTCATTTCAGACGACAGAAACCGTGTGTACCTGTGTAAACCCTGATTCAGCCTTACTGTTACAGCACTACACATTCATTTAAACCACTTTCAGTTATTTACTATTTTTTCAGCCTAACACTTTTGCTAGACTGTCTGCGCATGTTCGTTCGTGAATCAGCGTTAATTTACCAAACGTAACTGCAGTAATGAACAAACGAATTATCCTCACCACGCTGTTTGAACATGGCGTTGACGAAGCGGTTGGTGGTCGACGTCGGATGATCCATATTTCTGAAGTTTACATTAAAATATCCTGGCCAGAATCGGATGTCCTCCTCGTCTTCGCGTTTGTCCAAGTCTCTCTTCTTTGAGGCGCTCGCTCTATCCGCGCTGGTACACAACAGGATTAAAGCCTCCTCTCGTGTCTGGTGTTCGCTTTTACTCTCAACTTTCCGAGTTTCTGGAGTTCCTTCTGAAATACGAGCTTGGAAAAACTGCCAGGAGCTGCAACTAGAGCACAGTAAACGCTCAGCTGACTGAGTGATGTAGAGCACGAATCTTAGTTTAGTAGGCTATTAGTGAGCTGGTGCAGGATAACAGCACTCACTGTAGTTCAACTCACTTTAGTTTAAAGCTCCAGTCTATATGTGAATCTCAGAAAAACATACACTGATCAGCAATAACATTAAAACCGCCCCTATTGTTTCTACACTCACTGTCCACTTTATCAGCTCCACTTACAATAGTAGCACTTCACAGTTCTACATTCACAGACTGTAGTCCATCTGTTTCTCTGCATACTTTGTGAGCCCCCTTTCACTCTGTTCTTCAGTGGTCAGGACCTCCACAGATGGTATTATTTGGGTGGTTGATCATTCCCAGTACTGTAGTGCAGCGTTAGTGTGTGTTGTGCTGGTATGAGTGGATCAGACAAAGCAGTGCTGCTGGAGTTTTTAAACACCGTCTCCACTCACTGTCCACTCTATTAGACACTCCTACCTTGTTGGTCTACCTTGTAGATCGGGGTTGTCAAACTCAGCGAGTAAAAGGGCCACTTTTTTCATTTTTAATTAATGTTGTGCTATAACCTGAACTGGCCATTGTTTATTCAAAATATGCAAAAACTTCAACAGTAAAATACAGGCACTTGTAGTAGACCTTAAAATATTACATGAATACTTAAAATATTCAAAGTTTAAATGTCCCCAGGCGCTCTGTCTTTAAAATCTACCTACCTGCTTGAACTAGACACCTGGCGTCCTTCCTTTGCTGAAACTTCATTAAGACTAAGCTGAGCTGACATTAAGTGTTTATAGTGGTTGAACTACAGCTGAAATGCATTTTGGTGATATGACTGGTGTGGAATTGTGCAGAATTGTGTAGAATTGAGGTGTAACCGTCCCATCATCTTGAGCACATTAGGTTGCAGTGCATGCTGGGGACTGTAGTGCAGCACATCGTGAAATACGCTAATATTAATAGAAAATTAAAATACTTCTGCAGCCAGAGAGAATTGTGTGGCGGGCCTTGTGTTTGACACATGGGCTGTAACTATTCACTTGAAGAAAAAATAAAAACAAATATGGGTGTATAAAAGATCTCTGTGGTCCTAGTTTTTTTATTTTTTATTTGTTCCTGTAGTGTTGTCAGTGCCCTGTCCTCCTCCAGTATTGTTTAATTATCACTTTCCTAAAGAGGAAAAACATAGTAAATAAACATTTTCACTGGTCATGGAACAAACTCTTTAATAAGACTTGTTCATTACCTGGTCAGTGCTTTTTCGTCGGCACAAGAACTGCATGCGGTAGTTCTCATACAGAGAATCCTCAGTCATGTCCTTTAGGTCCTGCATGTGTGTTCGCACCAGCATGTTCCTCAGATGCACAAAGTCACAGTGGGCAGGATTCTCCACTTTAGGTGTGTGAGTGTGGGACAGGGGTGTACATAGAGGGAGATGAGAGTAGTATGTCTCAGATTTGTGTCTAAAGTGAATGCTCTTTAGCTAAACTAAACAATAACCACTCAAACAACAATTAACTGTATTGGTAGTTTTACAGAGTGCTTGAACAAATGCCATTAGCGTGAGGAAATGTTTTACTTTATTTTGAACCAATCACACAAGGCAAGGGAGGCTAGTATGTAATGAAGAAGTTAGATACATGTCATAATTATACATGTAAACATGTTATAGAGCAGTACAAACCTTCCACAGCACCCCATGGGTAACAGCGAGCTCGTACTCTCCTGCCTTTGCTCTCCACTGTTGTGTCACTCCCAATTACAGCAAATGGTACACGTGTCTAAAACAGCACAATGATATTTCATTCATTCATATCAAGACCTTGTCCACAAACCAGTTGTATCAATCCCTTAATTTTAGCTTAATTGCTTTGTTTTTAATCATTTGATAATAAACTGAAATAGAAATGGTCCAAACCTACGTGGAGTAAGATCTTGTTATATGTAAATAAGTTCAGATATTTTCCCACTCTATTTAGGAATCATTTACCAGGACTTTTCAGAACCATTTCTGTTACTCCACCACTTCCATTACCTAAGTATACATAAACCATGGTCTACTGATCATTATTTGACATTGTTCCAACATTTAATATTGTATCATGCTATGGAAACCTTTCGGTGAAAAGAAAAATAAATGGGCCGTGGGTCATAAACCAGTTTATTAAGATCAGGAGATATTCTTTGAACGCACAAGGAAAAAACCTAAACAAATATATAGTGATCGAATTATCCTCTTTATTTAGCATTCAAAAACCTGCCATCAGGGCGAGTATTGAAAGTTCCTATGGCTAGGGAAAAATTTTCTTTATTTAATTACCTGTGAGAATTCTTACTTAGTTTAATTAATTCCTCAGGGAATCAATTCTGTATGTGCATTTTATATTTGTGGTGTATTCTGATTACTGCGTGTCTGTACTGTCGTGTATTTTTTCTTTTATATTTGTAATGACAATAATTATTGTTGCTGCATTTATACATATCAATGGTTAATCATATTTCACTTAAACCTTTAATGTGTTTTGTGTATTATGTTTCTATATGCCAATACTAAAGAAAAAACTCAATTTCATGTAAATGAAAAGGACAGTAAAGTATTCTATTCTACTCTACTCATCACAGCTGTTCACAAAACGCACAACTAAAGACATCCTCAGTGTTAAATTCCATTAAATTACTCCTAATGAGCCCTTAATTACAGTTACACACTCAAACTCTTGTAAAGTTCTACAGTATATCAGAACATTCCATGCTGTAAGAAGTTGTCATGTTCAAATCACATATCATCACCTTCAGTTCCAAGTGCTGCTTTTTAAAAAGCTCATCATCATCTGGGTCACATTCTGGGAACTGATAGATCTTGATCCTGTAATCGTTGAGCTCATTCAAAATCTGAAAAGAGAGCAAATAAAATGTACAATCAGTCAACAAACTGCAGGCATAATCGTTGTTGCTTTGTTTTGTCAATAGCTTAGTTTTAAAAATCATATGAGAAAATTGCTCTCACTCTGGTTTTCATATACTGAATCTCAGAGTGGGTGAAGCAGTCTGCTTTAGCCAGCAGAGGCACGATGTTGACCTTTTCATGAAGGGCCTTCATAAACTCCACATCAATTGGTCTGAGGCTGTGACAACAGAGAAACACTGGTTACTCAAAGACCTGATTAATATTAATCCATCATAGATGGTGGCAAAACTGTACTATCAAAACAGTCCGTCTACATGGGGGCACATATTCTGTCATTATATGGCAAGTGATCCCGAACAACAGTTCATAAAAGCTAAACATATAGAATAAAAATGTTTATGAAAGTGTTTTGAACACGAATATGGTTACCCATGGCCATAAGGTGAGATGAAATAGAGGCAGCAGTGCACACGGTTGTCCTGAATGTTCTTGCGGTTCAGACTGACTTCACCCCTGCGGTACTGCTCAAACTGATGGACAATATAATCTACCACAGCTTTACAGCTGAAAGCACAAGCATACCAAAGCCACAGTTACTTTATTTTCCAAGACATTGCTGAAGGAAGGTACGATTTTACAATTAATGGCAAACAAGAACTAGTAGTATATTTCTGTCTGACAAAAAAACAGTGAGAGACTGATGTATGGTACTGTCTAACTGATGAGAGACTAATCCGTGCAGTGCTCTTCCTCCTATCACAAAATCTGATTACGTGGTCAATGGAGACACATTCAAGACCCTTGGACATCCCAGGTGTAAATGGCAATATGTCTTGCTGTCGACTTATAATCAGATCACTTGAGACGGATGCTAATACTAAACGTGAACAGGGCTATAGCAGGCTGGAAGCAAAGTCCAGTACTCAGGATGTTTTCCTTTTTTTCATGGTACCTTTTGCCAAATTTCTCTATGCCTCTATGACTATTTGCAGTACTATGCTAAAGTCAGAGATCACGCTTCATTTATCTTATTTCCAGTCAAAATGGCCATTAAGTACAAGTTATTCACTTTTCAGGAGATAAATTTGAGACGATTAGATACAGGTTAATACACTTGCATAAGAAAAGTAAAAGTCAAAGAAACGTAAGTGAAAAGAGTTCAAAATACAATTGAAAGATACAGAGAACTGCTAACAACCATGCAAGACCTTGCAGACCACCAAACACATGTACATAATTGTTTAAATAAAATAAAAAATACCATCAACCAGTACTATGGGAGTGTACTTTGTACTTTGAACATGTCTCCCGAAAGAACAGAAACAAAGGGTGGACACACTAAACACTACAAATGTGTTGTTATATTTAGTGGTTAAGGTGTGTGCTTTTCTTTTGTGTACAAACAAATTAAAGAAAGGGTTGTGTCTCAGTTTTACATAATATTGTATTTTTAATAGAAAATTACACAGAAGCCTCACCAACTAAATATAACATCATTGACAGGTGTTTCGTGTGTTCATCTTTTTCCTTTATTACTGTTCCAATTAATTTGGGAGACCTGCTTTCAGTTTTGTGAAAGAAATCTGCAGGTATGTTTTTCCACACCTCCAATGTTCAGTCTTAGATGCACTGTCTGCTTCTCACAATCCAAAAAAATTTAAACACACTCATTGATGTTGAGCTCTGCGGTGGTCAGTCCATTGTTTTGAGAACACCAGCAGCACTTGTATTCATTCACTTTGACTGAAAGTCAAATAAATTAAGGACTCTAACTTTTGCACAGTACCGTATGCCACTGTAGTAGCTCAATATTTGGATTTACATAATTTTGCCAGAAACGTGTCCCAAAGAAAAGGAGTTAGGGTTGCTCATTATCTGCTTGTGATGGCCCAGGTACAGGCTAACAGGAAATAATAGTAAAATACTACCTATACTACCTTTTAGTGTTGTCCATAGCATCTCCAAAGCCTGGTGTGTCCACAATGTTGAGCCTTAGCTTAACATCCTTTTCAACAATGTCAACAGTCTTCTTTGTAATTGCTACAGTCTGATATACCTTTTCTGTGTGCAAACAAAACAGATCTAGTTTACAGACTTTCAAAACAGTACTGTAAAACTGCATATAAATATATGCAAAATTACTCACCTCAGAATGCTTACTTACCATGGGCATCATAGAAAGTTCTGTTCTTGTACAGATCTCTGAGGAAGAGGCTGTTGATTAGGGTGGACTTGCCCAAGCCAGACTCACCTAGAGACAACACAGACTTGATGTTCAGCCCTACAGTCTTAGCAAAAAGGACTTTATATTGCTCCAAAAAGAACCATATATAATAGGTTCTCCATTTAACCATGCAAGAAATCATTTAAGCACTGGGTTAAACAGTGGTTCTTTAAGTTGTGATGGTTCAATATATAACCACGGCTGTTATTTATTTCTAAGAATGCCCTTTTTTTTAAAGGCCACAGCTTTATGACTATACATTTTTATATATAGACTACTCAGCTTTGCTTTTGTATTACAACTTACTGAAGTTTACAGTGGATTCACAGAACATGTAAAAAGATGCAATTATCATAATCTCCATTTGTGCTCGCTATGGGTTCCACATGTGAATATGTAAATAATAGTAAGGCCACAACAATACTGAACAGGTAAAAGCATCAATGGTGCTTTTCTTAATGTGGCCACGGTCACTGATGAATTCGGTTACAGCCAGAAGACAACAAATAACAGTATATAGACATATAAAGATACATATAACAGTATATAGTATAAAAGTCCCAGCAGGTATCACAAATACTCCTACACATGAAATACTTCACATAAAGGTTCCAATGGCTTCATTTGTTTTTGTATGAGTAAACAGGTATTATCTATTGCTCACACTCATAGAGTTAACTTCGCAGATTATGTAAATTATAAATATATATTTATTATGTGCTAACACCGTGAATCCTGACAGCAGCAGATCTTTAAACAAAAGTAAATGAAGCTATGTGTTGGCTTTATGCAAAATTGAGGCTGTTCCTTCAGCTAGCTCCACCTTGCTGAAGGCACCATCTTTGCTTGTCCCCCTGCAACACATTTTTCTGAAAAACATATTAATCAGTCTTACCAACAACCATCAGGGTGAACTCAAATCCCTTTTTCATTGATTTTCGCTGTACTTGGTTTGGCAGTGTAGCAAAACCAACATGTTCCCCATCTTGGTCCTGGGAGCAAAACAGAAAGGAGAACACCATACTAAAGATAGAGGCAAACTGACATATCTTACAGGCTTTTTTACCGGTATCGTAAAAGTACAAATAATTAGAAGTAAAACTACACGCCTCAAAATACTCACAGTGCAACCTGGAGGTTAAGCTTCAATTACTAATTTGTTAACTTGCCGTCATTGTGAAAAAAGATCAATTAACTAATCATAACATTATTAATTACACTGTCCATTGTTAAAATCTGACATAATTTCTGTCTTTGAAAAGAGTTCACCCTTGAAGTACACTTTGAGGGTGACGGTACCTCCAAGGAGTTATATGGATCGAAGCATCCAGAGGCACTACGTGAGCGTGAAGGGCATGACAGGGACCTGGTGTCATAATCAGGTGGATCCACCATCTGGACCCACTTATGGAGAGGCAAAGGTACAACAAAATGAAGTGAACTCTTCATGGGCTGGGCATCCGCCTCCCTCTCCTCTGACTGACTGGAAGCGTCAGGAGACTGCTCTCTGAGGACGTTCTCTAGTCCAACCTCACTTGTGTCATCTGTTTGCAAACTGGCACACTGGCAACACAGTACAATGTTTTAGGTGAGACAACCGGTAGACTTGGCAAGTAAAGTGTATGGGTGACTGAACATTAAAACTCACTGAAGATGAACGCCCTATTTCATCATCAGGAGTGGGTGGGAAGAGGGGTGAGACAGAGAAGAACCCAAATGAGCAACTCTCTAATAAGAATAAGAGTAAGAAAGCTTTAATCACACTTTTAAACAACATGCAGTCCCCTTGACGTAATATAAATGTATAAGCAGTATATTTGCAAACTGAATCTGAATTGCCTTCTAGCTGTTATTTCAGCTCTGTCCTCATTGGTAGTGACACCATCCATGCTCAGAATGGAGCTAACTGTTACTCCACTAGCTATGCTAACGCTAAACAGCAATGCTAATGTTACCTTCACGGTCGACTTTCTCAGTCTCCATGCCTAAAGAGTAAAAAAAAACATACTGAATAAACGTCAAGTTTCAAATTAACATAATATCAACACCACCAACTTTAGCTATGAAACTACTAACTTAGCTAGCTAAATTATTTTTTTTTAAAAATACAGTTAGCTAGCTAATAGTTAGCTCTACGTAGCCAATTATAACGGTCAGTTCTCCGGCCGGTAAATTATATATTCTCCTTCTGAGTTAATGTTAATGTATATATATATTCTCCTTCTGAGTTAATGTTAACTTTACACCAAAAATGCCACGAAAACACAAATAATCACTAACGTTAGCTAGCTAACAGCTAGGTTACTCACAGCTGGTATCCATTGCGTTCACGATAGCAAGCTAGCCAGCCTCACTAGTGGGTTCCGTTGGTTCGGGCGTTCTTGGCTTCTCTGACGCGCTCATTTTAAATGATAATAGAAAAACTGAACTTCCGTACAGGGAAATCAGAGATGATTACAAATCAGCTGCATATATAACTGTTAACTGTCTGATCTTTGGACAAGGAAGGATCTGCAGACTCAGGTTTAATGTTTCAAACACGCCTCGTTCATTATATAACAGATCCACCAGCTGTTCAGAAGTTTGAAACACTGTTTTCATCAGTTATGTTGCAGATGCGTGTATAACATGACTCTAATATGATGCTCTTGTACAGGTTTCAAACTCTTAAAAAAGATGGCTCGTCAAGGGTTCTTTAGTAAAGGGAATGGTTCTATTTAGAACTATGTAGAACCGTTTCATGCTTAAAAGGTTCAGGACCAAGACAAAGAACTATTTTAAACATGAAATGGTTAAAATTGGAGACATTTTTGATGACGAACGGTGCTGCACAAGTTTTATGGCATTCAGAACAGACTTAATAAAATGAGCATCCAGACTGTCTCAGAGTGATGACCAAGTCCCACTGATAGCTATTGATATCAATGTAACGTGACAGGAAATTACAATAAATAAACTATTAGTTTATTATGTAAGACATTTTACTATGTAATTACTTCTCATTGTTCTCCTAATACTTTATGCATAAACCATCAGCTTTTGTTTTAGTGTCTAGTTTATAACATCAACAATGTATGAGTTATTATTAAATAAATATTATGGCAAATCATTCCCAACTTTTCAAAAGGTAGTAGCTAATAGCGATTTAGTGCACTTGAAAGTGTTCAACTGGAAATAATATGCCTTATAAATGAAAATTAATTCGACAGCAGAGGTAACCTGAAAATGTAAGAATATGAATTTCATCGCAAAATGCTATAACTAATATCCGTTTGTAACAGTTTTGGATATGATGACTTTTTGAAAAGCATAACAGCTGGGATGTATATTTACTTCTCTAATAAACATGGTATTTATCTAAATATTGCACTGATAGTTCTTGTATATGTCCACTCCTAACACTGTTTAGCATGAAAAAAGAAAACTCTTGCTATAGGTCTATAATGTTTGGCAACAAAACCCTTCAAACATTCTTATTGAGCAGTCTGAGTAGAATAAATAGAGAAAGTACACAGAGAAAAGCACAGTTCATCTGTCTTTATTACAGCTTTTCAGAAACATATCAATACTGCCTTTTTAAGGAAAGTCTGAAAAAATGTACATTTCAGAAAAATTCCAAATACATTGTTTCTATGGCTCTACATTGTGTAAACACATTTCCATTGTATTATTTGAAGTGGAAGAAAATAAAACATTGTCCATCGTTTTTAAACACTTTTGCAGAAAGGTCCATTTAAAATAAATTATATACAGTTATATGCTACCTTTAACAAATAACTATACAGTCTCATCCAGTTTATACCTCAAGTTTCATGCAAGGTTTCACAGTATTTATCACTTAAGTATAATGGCTGGACAAAAGAAATGAGAGTGCGTACCTACAATATGGTAATGCACCTGTGGTATAGTTTTGAGAACATAGTCTTTTACCAACAACGTTTTGTTAACTTCCAGCATTTTTGCTGAATGATATATTGATGGTGCTACAGTGCACACAGTATGAGAGGTCCAGGTTGTGCTAAAATGACCTTATCCATGAAATGCAAGTTCCTTCAAAGTGTGTTCATCCAGCTTGTCTACACTTAAGTCACAAAGTAGGAAGCTGAAGTCCTCAAGTCAACCATTCACAGCACCGTTCACCTTCACACTGGAGTCCCCTTTTGTTTACATGGAAATCCATTAGCATGTTGAGACTGGCTATGTTTTTCCCAAAATGCTTGCCGCACCTTCTCCAGTTCTGACATTAGAGGAAGACCAATGTCCAGATGCATCAGCAAGTTCTCCAGCCATTCTTCCAACTTTGCAAATGTGGGACTACAAAGACAAAAAAATGACATACATTAGGAGGAGGTTTCGCTGGATATTTACATGTGTATCCTTTTTTGTGGAAAAGAAATAGAAAACCGACCGTTTTTCGATTTCTGTGTCACAGCAAAGAGCAGCAAGAGGAAAGAAGGAAGGTGGGCATTCGGTGGGATAGTAGCGCTCCAGAAATTCGTTCACTCCTAGCCCAAATTCCATAGTGCGAGGTAAATAGTCTGGATCAGCGTACACTCGACCAATAATCTGAGCCAAAGAAAAGGACATCAGTTTATAGTATAAATGTTGTTTAAAATAGAATGTGATCCTAACTGCTGAGTAAGTACTATTTACCTCACAGAGAATGATCCCGAAAGAGAAGATGTCAACTCGTTCATCATAACTTATTCCTTAGAGACAACAAAGGAGTGAATAATTCATCAGTACCATATAGAATCTGTTTGACTGTTTTTTTTATCTGGTTGTTTTTTGAGATTAGCTCACCTCGGATCATCTCTGGTGCCATCCAGTATGGGTTCCCCACTACTGTATACCTTTTCTTCCTTTGTGGCTTTTTCAGATTGGACATTTGTTCAGGAGTAGAGTTCCGTCTAAGGGGTTTATCCTCCATCACAAGCCGGGCCAGCCCGAAGTCAGCCACCACCACAGTCTGATTCTGTGAAGTTTGAGCAAGACAATGAAACACCTCATGTGATCCAGAAGGAGTACTTTTTAAAAAATTACTAACAGAAAGTGACATCCTAAATAAGCATCACAGTTGTTTTGTATCCTGACCTCTTTAACAAGGCAGTTATGGGAGTTCAGATCTCGATGTATAATATTCATGGAATGCAGGTAGGCCTGTAAGAAGGTGAGAAGAAAAACGTCAGTGAAACACCCTGGTAGCTGTCCATATACTGTTTTCTGACTGGGTGGTTACTGCTATCACTGCAGTTTAACCTAGCTGCCTTTACTTAATACAGCTTGATACTGAAGTTAGGAAATAAATGCAAGCATGCGAACCAACACATGACAGTAAGTTGTACTGTTTCACTCTATATTGCTTACCATTCCTGCAGAGATGTCCTTTGCATAGTTTACCCTAAGATTCCAGGGATAGTCGTTGTCCTATTGTACATAATGATACAATCAGAAAATCAAATACTAATAAGCTAATACTGCTAATAATGGTAATCATTACTACTACTAAGCAGAAGAAGAAGAAAAAACTTTCAAACCATTTTCTGTATTGTTTCCCTCAGTGTCCCTCCTGGTACATATTCAGAGATGAGGTTCAGTCGTTTATCTTTGAATAAGATGCCAATGAACTTCAACACGTTTGGGTGATCCAGGCAGCGCATCACTTTTACCTGGAGTGAGAAGTTTCATTTACACTCAAAAAAATTAATGCCTGTATGACCATAATGTAATTACTGTCCTCTGCAAAAGTTTGAGCACCCCTGATAAAATGACACATTTTATAAGAAAAATATAAAAATGCCACAACTTATTTAAAAAAAAACACATCATTTGCCTGGGGCACATAAACTTTTGCATACTGTATGGCCCTTTTTCCCCATTCAATTAAATGCAGTAAAGCTGGCATTTAAGGACTTCACATAAAATTTATTTGCAAATGTTGACATATTTTCGGTTTGTAAGTCAAACAACCACAAACAAGCAACGACTGATGGTGAACCCATCGAAAGGTAACCAACCTCTTTGAGAAACGTCTGCTGGGTCTCCTCATCAAAACGCAGAAGTTCCTTCATCACCATGACTTCACCCGTTTCCTGATGGGTCACCTGACAACCAAAGGTAGAAACAGCCTTTAATGTCCCGCTGCGCTGGACTATTTCTGACATCACTCTACTGTAAGAAAGAGTTACTGGTTCCTCCAATAGTCACCGGTTCCTCTTTACCTTAATAGCTTGTCCGAAGAAGCCCTTTCCCAGAATCTCTCCACATATGAGGTCGGAGGGGCGGAAGATGCGTTGTGTCTTGTCGACAGGGTCAATACGTAAAGACTCAGAGCGATTAATGTCTCTTCTGTGAGATGGCAGTGGCAAGTGGCTTTGTGTACACTGAGTTTTATCAATGCTGCAGCTCCGTCTACAGGAAAACACAGAAATAAGCTTGATTAGAGAGCACTAGAAACACTGACGTCAATGACTGATTGATGCTAAACATCACTGCATAGTTACAAAGGGTTCTTATTTCATTCAATATCTTGAATGTGTTGATTGTTTTCCTCTAAATCAGCATTATAACACAGAGGTAGATAATATGTTCTGAGTGAGACTGTTACTACTTACATAACTGTGCAAAAGTCAGAGACCCCCCTTTCATTTATTTAATTTCCATTCAAAACAGTCGTTAAGTGCAAGTCATTCATTTTTCAGTGTCAGAAGAAAAAGCAAGAAATTTAACAGAAAATTACACAAAAGCCTCCAACGCTAAGTATACTGTATCTATCATTGTTTAATTTATCCACTCTACTTTTGTACTCCCTACTCCCACTTTAACTCTTCCATTCTTCCAATCTTATAACCAACGAGTTACAGCTGTGTCCTCCCAACAAAAGCTGTTCCCAAAGGAATCACTGACATTATGTTCCCTTCAAAGAGACACTAACATTCACACAAGCAACTACGCAGACACACCTTAGCAGCTTTACACATTTCTTTCTCACACACAAATAAAAAGGCTAAAGAAGACATTTCTGATGACATTAGATATTGCACCTGCATAAGAAATGGACAAAGTCAAAGGAAAATAAGAAAAAAAAACTGGAGTTAAAAATTGATGAAAAGATATTGAGAAAATGTGACTCCCAACAACCACGCAAGACTCGGTAGGCCACCAAAACTGTGCAAAACAGCGCTTAAAGCTTGCACTTGGGATTACTTGGAGATCCTGGACTCCAACATCATCGAATGTGTTCGGATTATGAGAAGCAGAAAATGCAACTGAAATGCAAAACTGAACTTTGGAGGTGTGGAAACATATCCCTGCAGATGTCTTTGAAAAACAGAAAGCAAGTTTCCTGAAAAGAATGGAAGGGGGACACACTGAATACTGAAAAACATTAAATTATATTTAGTTGTTATGCTTTATGTGTAACTTTTTGTTAAACATATATTTTACACTTTTTCTCCAGACACTGAAAAATGAATAACTTGTTCTTAATGGCATCTTAAGATAATCATAACTGGTAGAGAGAATGCTCAGTTTGATGCTCACTCTACCATTAAAGAATCATGTTTGTGCTAAGATGCTTTTGAAATACCCAGCCTATATTAGTAATCGAGGAATATACTGATAATTTTGATGATTAATTGTGAATTTTGTTTTAATAGTTTTAAAATGACTAAATAATAAATATGGACTCACACCAGCAACAGCAAACCATGCACAACTTTTCAAATCTACTAAAACACTTTACTGGAAAAATAAACTAGGAAGTATTTGAGAACACTCCATTAAAATATATATGTGTGTGTGTGTGTGTATAAAACACAACAGGAAGTGCATATAAAATGTGTCCATTAGGCTCTATTTCTTACTCTTAGCAAGATCAGTGTGAGAATTTAAAATATGGATTATAATCATGCACATTGACAACTAATCACTGTAACTTTAGTAAACAGGTACATATTGTTCTGTTAAAGGTACAACATGGTCCCTAAAATGAGTTTTAAACATAAACTACATTCACTTTCTCAGAGTAAAGGTGGGAACCTTTTCTTATCCTACCGTTTTTGAATATAAAAATAAAATAAAAAGCCTGGAGTCAAGATATGGGTATGTGGAGTCAATGTAACTTAAAAAATACAATATATGTATGGTACAATTATCTTCCCTAAGCAAAAGTACTGAATACTGAATTTTAACTGACTATTTTCTTTTACTGAGTTTTTGTGACAGTTCTAATCATGAGCAGTGGTGTGGAGAATAATTCATACAGAATGTGTCTGGAGCGTTGCCGGGGACTATGACTCTGAGGAAGGAAGACGTCCAGTTTTCCTGGTCGGTCTGACTCTTCTTTCAGTGGTCCAAAGGGATCTTCCTGATTGTGGAGGTCATTAGGGTTGTGCTCTACAGTGAGCTTCAGGCAGCGCTCAATGTCATGAATCATCATGTCAATCTGTTAGAGAGTAAAGATGTGTGTCAGCATGTGTTGTTTTATCATTGAACAGAGTTTGTCAGGATTTTATTATATCCCATAAACATTATACCTCATTATGTGGAATGTTCTGGACAGAGACACCATTGATCTCAAGAACAGAGTCTCCAACATGAATCAGGCCCTTTATCTCAGGACTGCTGCATGAGTCTAACCTGTAAAGAGGTGAACGGTGAATGACTCCAAACTTGCTGGTGGCACAGTCGTACTGGTGTTTGCGATTAGTAGGGTGCAAGAATGTAACAGGCAGACTCACTGAGATACTGTGATAATGGGGCTGCTTCCATTGATCGAGCACTGATCCACACTCAGAGAGAGACCTCTCCTGCTTTCTGCTGAGGGAGGGAATGACACCAACGCCACTGTATGAGGGAGCCTGGAACAGTCTGCACCTGGATGCCTCACTGATGCACACTGATAATAACAGTGTCCGCTACAGGGGAGGTAAAGAAATTATATGTAATCACCGCTGTAAAAAAAAACAAAAAACAAAAAGTTCTCCCAGATAACAACTTTACAGAAGAAGACAAATATTTACTTTTTGTTTACCTTAACGTAAAGAGGTCTTATTCCAAGAAATTTTGTAGCATCTGTGGGTCCATTTCTCATGGAACTTTCACACAATGGTGTATAAAAATAAATTTTTGGACAGCAATAAAATGTTTATAAAACATAAATTTATATCTAATTTTGGAAGTTTGGAATCAATGGACCACATTCACTAACTGTTCTTAGGAAGGAATTTCTTCTTAAAACCCACTTACGCAGTTTTTACAAATGATTCTGACATTCACCAGTGTTTTCTTATTTAGGATCTGTTCTTAGGAAAGACACACCCAAGAGCACAAAGGTGTGAACAATTCTGCGGTTTAAGAACACGTCATGAATCTGACTGACAACTTTTTCCTAACACCTTTCTCGAGAACAAATTTAAGAAAAAGCTTAGGAAGATACTGGTGAATGAGGCACACTGTCTTCAGCAATATAAAACCAGTTTTGTTGCAGGTATAAAACAAGTCCATTATGAAGCTACTACTCCACAAATTCATAGGTTTTAATTCATCTGTAGTCAGAAATAAAGAAGTGATAGATGTGTCCAGAATTAATGACTCTGTAATTCATAAGAAAGTTTTTAAAAATGTTTCTTCAAGGGTTCTTAAGTAAAGACGATGGTGATATAGCACCAAAAACTGGAGCATTGGAGCTAAACTTGCCTTAACAAAAAAAAAGGGTCCACAAGTCAAAGAACCTTTCTGATACCATGTAGAATCCTTTTTGCTAAGAGTGATAAAATATAGAACCAAGTTCTAAAAAAACAACATACAGAATGCCTTGTATTTAAGAAATGGTGGTTAAATCTCAAGGCAGATAACACAGTACATTCTTACAAAAAAGGGTTCTATATAGTACCACAAAAGGTTCCTTGACTTGTAACAGTAGAGCCTTTTTTCATGCCATATAGAATATATTTTTAAAAGGTTCTTAAAAGAACCATAAACAACAGGTTTTCCATCATGCACTCTTAGCAAAAAGGGTTCTACATAATATAAAAAAGGGTTTTTTTGGCTTGTAATGATAGTGGAACCCTTTTTGGTGCTATATAGAACCCTTTTCAAAAAGGTTCTATATGAATCCATTTACAGCACATTCTGCATCAACCCTTTCAAGATGCAAAAAACCCTTTAATCATACAAAGGGTTCTTTGAGCGTTCATGGTTCTATACAGAACCATTTTTTATAAAAGAACCCTTGAAGAACCATTTTTTTTAACAGTGCAGAGGTGAACCATTCAAAAACGCAAAGAGCTATTAATGCATTCAAATGGTTCGTTGCTCTATATAGAACCACTGCCATCACTAAAGAACCTTTGAAGAACCATTTTTAAGGATATTAACAAATAATTACAGTATATTATTTATCATCGTCTTGCCATTATTAAAAAACTTAAAATATTAAAACATTTTAAAATACCTTCCAGAGTTTAACATTAAGTATGTCAACCTGCATTATATATGTCATTATTGAATAAAATAACAGCATTTATTAATATTAAAAGTGATTTTAAACTTTTAAATAGTTGTTTAGGTTTATTTTAAATTATATTCATATTTTAACCCCTTATATGGCCCAAACTCAAACATCTATAACTTATATCTTAGATAATAACTCAGCCAGTTTGCACTGAAGTCCAGCCAGTTTGCATTGTTACTAAACAACAGGCCTCAGTATGTAATAAACCTGGGACTTCATTCATTAGAAATTTAGACTCATTACTGTCCTTTTGCTATACTATGTAAATTACACAGTTACATCAATAATTAGAATAAATGGAAATGAAAATGTAATGATTTATAGGCTGTTTTTGTTACTGTGCCTTTAAGACTGTTACAAGATCAGTGAGCTCTGTTCTGACTGACAAAAAGCTGAAACTGTCAGAATGAGCAGGGCTAAACTGTGAATGGGCAGGGCGAAACTGCTGCAGGTGGAATACATATATACTGTATATGTAGAGTTGGTTCTCATGACATCACAGAAACAATTAATTCAAAAAGGGCTGTTTTTGTAGCTTAGTTTCCCTATATTTACCATATGGACTGGAAAGTGAATGGTATGTTTATAAACTTTAACAGTGCTTACATGTTACTTCAATCTCCTTTATTAAGCATTTTTCATGATATGGGTACTTTAAACATCTATAAACATCTATGTTCTTATCATGCATGAAGTGCAGCACAAGAGTTTCAATATGATGTATCTTAATGCAGTTTCCAAACTAACCAGTATAATTTGGAGTGCTCCACTAACGTGTAGGAATCCCCGTCTCCAATGAACATGCCACACTTTTCACAGATGAAGCATTCTGAATGATACTTGTGCTCTCCAGCCACCTTTAGAGAGAAAGGAAGAGAATAAAAAGAAGAAACGTAATTCACTTATTGTTTAGCAGACATAACGCTAAACCCAATGAAGAGAGAGAAAGAAAGGATGTGGGGGTCCAACATATGGGCGCGGAAGGGCGGTGGTGGTATCAGCACTTCAGATATGAGCTGGAGCTGCACAATGAATGGAAGGAAGTGAATGAATGAGAGTAGGAGGGGGCCGGGGGTAATTTGAGATCAGTACGGGGATTAGGTAACAACCAATAATACTCTAATCCTCACAAGATTAGGAGCATGAAGTGCCCCACCAAACTATTTCTAATCCACGAACCCAATTCCAAAAAAGTTGAGACAGAAGGTTAAACGCAAATAAAAATAGAAAGCAGTGATTTGTAAACTTTCTTACGTGTATTTAATTGAAAACAGCATAAAGAAGAGATATTTAATATTTTACATTATCAACACCTTTCAAAAAAGTTGGGATAGGAGCAATGTAAGACTGAAAAAAGAATTTTGTGGAATGATCAAAAACACCCATTTTGGAACTCCCCACAGGTGAATAGGTAACAGGTGAATAGCTATCATGATTGGCTATAAAATGAGCATTCAAGAAAGGCTCAGCCACCACTTTACGAAAAATTGGGTGATCTTAAAAACAACATTTCTCAAAGCATGATTGCGTGTAATTTTTCACCATCTACAGTCCATAACATTATTAAAAGATTCTGAGAATCCGGTGAAATCTCTGAGCTTAAAAGGAAAGGCCGAAAAACAATACTGAATGTTTTTAACCTTTGTTCCCTTAGATGACACTGCCTTAAAAACCAATATGCTTTTGTAATGAATATAACCAAATGGGCTCAGGAATACATCGAAAAAACCCTTGCGAGCAAACACAGTTCATCGCTGAATCTACAAATACAAGTTAAAGACTACGCAAAGCAGAAATGCCGCTGATTTCTCTGGGCTAAAGCTCATTTGAATTGGATTGACGCAAAGTGGAAATGAGTGCTGTGGTCTGACAGGTCCAGACCTGTCTTCTATTGAAAATGTGTGGCACAATATACAACAACAGAGACCCTGGACTGTTGAGCAGCTGAAATGTTATATCAAGCAAAAATGGGGAAAACCCATTTTCACAACTACAGCGCCTGGTGTTCTCAGTTCAGATTCCTGAACGTTGTTAAAAGGAAAGGCAATGTAACACAGTGGCAAACACGCCCTGTCCCAACTTTTTTGGAACATGTTGCAGGCATCAAATTTAAAACAAGTGTGTAGGTACAAAACCAAATAATTAATTTAATTAGTTCACTAAGTTAATTAGTTGAGCGGTGCTGTTTTCAGTTAAATATAGGTCAAAAAGTATTTGCAATTCATTGCTGTCTGTTTGAATAACAATGTCATGTAACTATCGTCATGATCGATAATTTTTGATGTCATGACAACTTTTGTCACAAGCTAATTGTTGCTAGTTGCTAGATGGCTGTGGGAGAGATGACAGCTACCACATATGTGCTGTGTTTTAGCTTGTTTATGTTTTTAATGTAGTGTTAGGAGGGTGCTTTTGTTTTAGGTATTTTACAGGCACACTTTTAACTCTGCTTTACAAGGGATTGCCACTTTTGTGTTGGGGGTGCGCTCCCAAACTCTGTTTACAGGAGACCTTGTCTCTTGTGTTAGGGATGTGGATATGTTGGGCAGATCTCACCAGCACACTCACAACTCGGCTCACAAGAGCTGCTTGATTGTTTGTACCATCTGGGGTTTCAAACAGGTAAGAGGGGTGTACCTATATATACACATCTGCACCACGTAGGAGTCTACACTCTGTCCGGTTCCCTAGTTTCAAGTTCAAGTTTCAAGTTTATTTGTCATTTGCACAACATGTCAGGACATTTATGCATTGAAATGCTTGTGGTGAGGCTCAGGTAATCACTCTACAGAAAGTAAATAAGTAAAAAAATAAAAACACAAGAAAAACAAACTGAAATATATTAAATATACACAAAATATACACTATACATTAAATATAGAGACGATATACATTTTAAAGTAACGTAAGTGACTTAGTGTTATTATTATTTAAAGTGACTTAGTGTTAAAGTATTATTGTCCATAGCAGAGATATGATATAATAATAATGCTGACAAAGTGACTGAGGTGACCCTAGGTCAGAGGGTGGGCACTGTCTTATTGCACCTTTTGATTATTGGCCAGGGAGTGTTGCGTAGTTAGCTTTTGTTTTTTTGTTTCAGAGTAGGCAGGCATGGTTTTATTTTGTTTGGTTCCTTTCTCTGGTGCCGTCCACAGTTTGATTCTGAGTGGTACTAGATATCATAGCACAGCATTTTTATTGTGTTAGGTTTTAATAAAAATTGATTCAAAAGCTCCATCTGTCGTGCCTTATTCTTTTATATCTTCATCATCAGTTCAATGTTGTATTGCCACATTACTGATCCCACAGCACCCTAGACAAAATGTGGGGTCATAACATCATATGATTTTGCATTTGAGACCTAAACACCATGCCAAAGCCTTTTTGAGCCTATGCCTAAATTCCTGCAAAATCTGACCCAACACCTTGACTTTTTAATTATTATTTCAGACTTTACAGGGTGACTTACAGCAGCTCATGGACACCATATTTTTTATCTTTTTTCTCCTGAGTCAGTAATGCAACTTTTAGTCTTAACAAAAAAAACTTAGTAATGCTGCCTAAAGTAGCAGCTCATTCTTCCTGACTAGAAAACTGAATTGATACTTGTAACATAAACTTGTAACAAGTTTAGTATTTTTTTTAATCATACAAACCTGTGTTATAACTTTACATGTATTTACTTAAAGCTACACTATATAAAATTTCCACCTCGCTGGTGGAAATGTATAATTGTATACAATGTGCACACAACACTGATGCTCCAGACCTCCACGAGCGGATGAATCTGATGATTGCGAGCATGCTGAAAGAGAGTTCAAACAGAACGCAGTCAAAACTTGATGGACATGTCTCGCGAGGATGTGAATTATCTGTTCAGATCTGTTCGATTATCAATTATTTTTGCTTGTTTTTTTCCCTCTTGACTCAGTAATGCTACGTCTTTCAATATTTACAAAGAAACTTAGTGCTGCTTCAACATAACTTTCATTTAAGAATGCTGTAGATTTTCAGGAGAATGCTGTAGCAGTCTAGAAGACTGGCTCCAGAGGTATTGTTTACATTTCAGTGTGCAAGCACATGCAATACAGGTATGTTTTTCAGCTGTGACTAATTCTCATAGTTAGGAAAACGTGTATTAAAATCCATTAGTACAGACATGCAATGAAACACGACATAAGTCAGCATGCAATTTGCCTAAGCAGTTATACAGTAACGCGCTCTTACCATAATTACACCGGTGGTGATGACTTCTGAGCAACCTCGACACTGTTCCCCAAAGCGTGTCCAGTAGTCTTTCTTACAGAAGAACTGCCCATCCCTCTCATAGTACCAGTAAGAGAGCACACAGCTGCATTCACTGCACCTTCAGGTGGGTTAACAGCGAATAAACGGTGAGGCCACAGTCATATACATAACATAATGTTAACACTAATTTAAGGCTTTGGCAAGACAAAGCAGACCACAAGAAAAAGAAATAAAAAGAGACTTTAAGAACTTCAGTCATTCAGAGTGGTTTGGTTCCAAATAGTTAATTAAAGAGAAACTTACTGATCTTGATTTTGTTACAATGGTAGTGATAGGAACCAGAGGTCACACTATCAACAAGGCAAATATAGCCATTTTATTTACTATCTAAAACTATCAGTGAACCTACATGAGTCTGAGTTTTTATATGTAATGTTGACAATCCTAAAATAGTGGTAAATCTGAAAAAAAAATGTTTTCTTTAGGTACTATTTTGTCTTACAATGCCCCGCATATACATATCCATCCTACATGTGTTTAAAAAACTGGTTTAAAGACTAAAAGTTTCTCAGAAAAATATCATTAAATGATGTCTTAGACATCTGGCATTGTATTCATAACAATTTCACATCATACTTTACTGTGAGGTAGCCTGTTTTTCCTGAAATTTAGAGGCATTAAGACTTCCAACGTCTGGTTCCCATCACCACCACTATGAACAACTCTGACTTTCCTTCTCTAGAATGGAGCATTTCACAACAAACCCACTCTGAATGACTTTGTTCATGTCTAAATAATTTCTGTATGCTGAAATGTTAAAATATCTGTAGAATTTTCTTTTAAATTAAAGTCCTAAAATTCATTCAGCGTTTGATGCTTGAAGCCACGGTCATCACTGGCGATAATAAAACCATGACGTAACTCAATATTAATTATTTCTCACTTGCAGCTCATTCTAAAAAGTGGGAAAATTTGGTCAGAACTGTTAATCAATACCCCATTTGTGTTTGAGAGCAGAAGAAGAGTTTACAACGATTACATTTCACAAAAAGTTTGTAAATGTCTTGTTTTGCAGAAAGTAAAACCTTCCTTTACATCGATAAAGAACGTAAACCAAACACTACACAACTCACTACAATAACATGTGAAAGCAATTAATAAATAGCTTTTTTCTCAAATGCTTATATTCTAAGATCATTTGTCATTTGGTTGGTAAATCTTAAGCCACTAAGGTGTCAGCGAATAAGAACAAAATACACAGCAAGCTCTTCATAAGTTTGCTGCTGGAAAGAAAACAGCAGACAATTTCCAGTTTATCACTGCAGAATTATCACCATTACAGAATTGCAAGTGTAGTATTTTAGCAGGGTTTTACTTCAGTACTATAATTAAGCATTATTTTGGAAGATGTGCACTTCACTAATATTATTCAAACTGAGTACTTGTACCTGTACTCCTTACATGAGCATTTATACCTTCAAAAGTACTCATTACAAATCTCTATGATGATATTTTTCTTTTGTTTTCTTTCTTTTCTCAGCCAGTTCCTGCACATTTTAATGCTTTCATTATTAAAACATGCAGCCAAATTCATATCAGTGTAAAACGAAAACTGCCCAGAACTATGCAAGATTTATTTTTTGCATAAAGACTAATACTTTCTATTGGCTGCTGCAAGCATGCCACCAAACAAAAATGATCAATTTATTTGTTAAAACACTCACTTTTTTACTTTCAAATACCTGAGTGTGTTTAAATGTGGATACGTCTTGATTTTCAGTGAAGTATGTTTGGTTCCACACTTCCACTTTTAACACTGAAACCATACTTTCACTTAAAAGGGGAATTCCAATGATTTCTTCGAAGTGTTTGCTTTGTTCAGTGGTTGAGAGGTAGTCATAGTCATTCAGTGGTTTGATGTGAAGTGGTTTATTGTAGAGAAACTTGCACATTCAGAATGGAAAATGTCCACAATGCAAATGTACTTTTTGGTCAAAATCTTATCTCAAAACTATCGTAAAGCAATGCGTCAGACATCAGACAGCATATTCATAACCTTTTTATGTAACAACTTTCTGTGATGTAGGTTTTAGGAGCATTAAATTCTTTAAGCATGCAATGATATGGGAAACGATGTCTGATGACAATATCCGATATGTTTGCGAGATCACTGTGCGTCCCTAAAATGCTTTATGACGTCTGGTTCCTATCACCACCACTGTGAATGATTCTGACTTTGGCAAATTTTTCTAGAACAGAGCATTTCACTTCAAAACACTCTGAATGACTTCATTCACACCTTAACCATCACAGCTGCTTTGTGTTTTTCCTAACCCTGTATTTTGGTTCTGATAATGACGCTTTATAGGTTTTGCATACGTGATGGTGAGGCTTATTACAAGAAAGAACAGCTGACAATAACAAAGGAAGTTTCCCTAATTCTGCACATCTGTACAGGAAAGTCTCCACACGTATTCCACAGATGTTGCCTTTTTTCCATTCTATCTCACCACCAAACACAAAACACACAGCATCACACAGTATCTTAAACACATACACTTCTGTGCTGCTACGTGTTTCAGACCTAAAAACACAACCTCTTAAAGGAAGACTGTCTTAAACGGAAATTCCACTCATTTTTTCAAAATTTCAATACAATTTAAGAGCTACGACGTAAACAAAGTCATTTAGAGTGGTTTGATGTGAAACGGTCCATTCTAGGGACACTTAATGTCAGAACTATTCACAGTGGTGATAATAAGAACCAGATGTATGAAAAGTTTAAAGCCTCTAAAATCTCTCTCACACAAAATTACTGCAAGAAATGGTAATGAATACGCTGCCTGATGCCTGAGACGTTGTCTTACAATAGCTTTGTGACAGAGTTTTTAAGGTTTACCACTATTTTAACATGTTTAAAACTTGCAAGAAATGTGTAGGTTCACTGGTGGTTTTGGATAGTAATTAAAACTGCTAGATTTGTGCTGCTGACATCATAACCTCTGATTCCCATCACCACCACTGTAAAGAAATCAGAGTTAGTAAGCTGCTCTAAAATGAACCACTTCACATCAAACCACTCTGAATGACTTTGTCCTTAGTCTCAATCATGAATTTTGCAGAAATTTTGAAAATGCTTGGAATTCCATTTCACAACAGACCACATCCTCTACTCTCATTGTAACTATAGGTTAAATGTCATCATAGCTGTCACCTCCCATCCATTTCTGCTCATCTAACATAAACAATCCCCAGGATTTCCTGCTAAAAAGAGGAGATAGGCCAAAAACGCCCCACAGCCCATTTCCAACATCACAGCAACTATGTGATGATATCTCAGTTCTGTGGTATGCTGTTGCCTCACAGTAGGACAGATGGAACAAGAGGTGGAGATAAAACAGCAAAAGACTGGATCAAAGCAGTGTTTGTGCTCTGGTCACACTGAACAAACACATCACACATTTTCGCTCCTGTAAACAAGATGTTTAGGAAGGGCAAAGATTTATCCATATATTTTTCAGATATATCTGATTACAGCATAGATATACATATGTATGATTACAGCTTTCATTGTAGTGTCTCTTCTGTAAATTTTATTCTGAATCTGATTATCCTTTTTGAGACATAATACCTAAAGCAAAATATGGTAAATGTAAGCCACGTCTCAGGGTTTTCTTAGTCTCTAGCAATTGCTAATGCCCTAGCAATAAAAAGCTATGTGTACTATAGACATGTGTCAGATTTAAGTTTGATGGAAGGCTGAAAAGTGTTGTCTTTTTTTTTGGTTGTTGTTGTTTCTCTTATTAAAAAATAATATGTACATATATATTCATATTAATAAAAATAAAAGTTATAATAATAAAAACGTATAATTAAATAAAAGTCTATTCAATAAAAAATACTGACAGTACAGCACAGTACGTACACAACCAAACCCATCCTCCACTAAAAGCACTAAAAGTCATTTCAGATTGGTTCGTGCTTTCTCTGGTTAATAGTGAAACTGTAAACCACACTATCGGACTGTTTCCCCTTTTCTGAAGCACAGTGAATTTTTAGCACTTGTAAATCCAAACGCTTTACAAACGTTAGAGCAGCAGCTTTTCTGACAGGACTGATCAACCGTCGACTCAGCTTACCTCGCGTTTGCTCTTCTCCTGAACCGCTGATCCTGCTGAGACATGTGAGGATCTCTGGTAGCACGCTTCTCTTAGTCTGCTCTCTCTCTCTCTCTCTCTCTGTCTGAGTCTCTCTCTCTCTCTCTCTCTCCCTCTCTTCAGAGGAGGAGAAAGTGAGTAAAAGGGAGGAGAGCAAAACCCAGCTGAACGGAAATCAGCTCCAAATGTGTCCTAATGAACAGCAGCTCGTCCAGAGTTGCACAATGCAGAACGAGGCAGCACGAGTTGTTGTTTTGTCCTTTAAGTGCTCTCTCTCTTTCTTTCGCCTGAGGAAGTAATCTGTGCCCTCAGTGACCAGTCCTCCAGTCTATCCCTAACTTTAGCCTGCCCTCCTCCTCCAGGCTGCTTTGGTCAGCGTTACGTACTGACGGGGCGGATAAAGTTACATTCCCACCTGATAGCCGACACCCATCAGAGGGGGCAGGAGACTGAAGAGAGAGCCGCGCGTAAATCACAAGAACTGAGGAATTCAGCAGGAATTTCACTCCAGCTGGAACAAGTTTAACTAGCAGTTGTCCTTCAACTGCGCATGCAAGCAATCTAGAGAGCAGCAGAGCTTTGATCAGAGTACCCGCCCACACTCAGCTAACAATACGGGACCGCCTGCAGTTTAGGGAATTAGAGCATAAAAACGAGCCCCTTTGTTTCTTACCCCTCTCTCCATCTCCGCTCTCATCTCCACATTATAAGGGTGTTTTGTTGCTTCTGTTCTTTAGATCTATTTACCTGCACTTGGCTGCACTCGGTTGCTTTTGTTTCTGATCTGGGAAAACACCTCATATTTTTGACCACAACCATGCTGTTGTTGATCGATTTCAATCCAGTCATTTTCTCTTTTACTTTCATTTACGTAGAAAAGCCCATCTTACACAGGAACCCCCTCTTAGTGGAGTGAAACGTTAATGAAGGGTGGTTCCTGGCTGATGACCCTGCAGCTGACCCGTGGGCACCGGAGGAGCTGCGACTGGCTGCAATATCTAGCAGGTGTTCTATCTTCCTGTACATTTACTATTCCTTTATGGTGAGGAACTGAGTGGTGGTGAATTAAAGTATTTCTTTAACTCTGAGTGGCCTTTATACATCGACGTTGCGTAAATATAGCGCAGATTTGACCGTTTTTACCGAGTACAAACTACTTGAGGCAAATGATGAATCAGCTTCAGTGCGTGAAATCAAGCACGGGCATACCAGCACCTCATTTACATATATTTACATATCATTTACATGAAGCAGGCCCTAACTCATGCTGCTGTTTCGGTGGGGAGCCAATAAAACGACAGCGTTCAGTGCCTTGTGAGCCAATGGCTGAGCTGCAGGCGGAGTTTGAGGTTGAGCAGTGAGTACGCAGCTCCCCCTACTGACCAAACTAGTGTAAAGACTTCGACGACTGGAAAGAATAAAATGTTTAACAAACAAAACATCTTTTTTTATGACAATGATATGAGTGTATGTAGTGCGATTATTTTCCTTATTGAAACGCTGTATTATTGCAGTATATGAGATGCTTCTGCACTGGCTGTGTTTTGTATTTGTTTTTGTGTCAGTCATTTAAAACAAAACCAAGTGTAATATCTACTTTTTTGCTGGATTATATGCACTGATAATCCATATTATTGTTATTTTTATATTTTTATTCTTCTTATTCGTGTTACAGATTTTATTGATAATAATTAGTTAATGGGGAACTCCACCAATTTTTCTAAATTTCTACATAAATATTAGTTAAGATGTAAACAAAGTCAAAAAGTAATTTGATGTGAAATGCCCTATTCAAGAGAAACTCACAGAGGCAGAATTGTTCACACTGGTGGTGTTCCACAGACGTTCCACTTCTAAAAGCTTACTCACAGAAAGTTATTACATTAAATTGTTATGAATATGCTGCCTTATGCCTGAGACATTGACCCCTGGTTCCTATCACCATCACTGTAAAGAAATCAGTGTCTGTAATTTTCTCTACAATTAACAATTTTACACCGAACCACCCTGAATAACTTTTTTGACATTGCAGTGACAGAATGATGCAAAATGTTTTAAAAAAGGTGGAATTCCAGGTTCATTGCAAATCATTTTGCTGTAGTTGTATGGGCCTATATCCTATATTTTTTTCTTATGTATTTGTATTTTATTTTCCTCCCTCTGAGGTCCACTGATAACGTTTGTGTGGTGTTATGTCATTTTCACATGAGCATTTTCCAACCTCACTTTATCCCTTTAGAATTAAATAGGCTGCTTTTGTTACTGTGCCTTTAAGACTGATGTTAGATCGATGAGCTGTGTTCTGATTGGCTATCCTGTATTGTTCCACATTCACATGCAGAGCTGAAACATTCCTTATAACTTCAATACAAATGGGCAGGGCTAAACTGTTGTAGCCTAAGTAGATGGATATATTCAAGTGATTTGAATCTTGTTACTGCACTGAAACAGTGACTTTTTATTTATGTCAGCAGAGGTAACTGTCTTTATCTAAACACAGACAGTGGACTGTGCCTGAGAATGAGGAACTGTCTCACTGTTCTGACTTAATACTGCTTCTCATTCTTTCTCTGACACAGACATTTCAGCAACATTACAGCTCCTGGCTGATGCAATCATCTAACTGCCTTATCAAGAGTGGAGTTCAAATCCCTTCGATGTTTCAGCCCTCCATGGTCAGAAGTTCAGACTGGGGGCGTTGTGTGATGTGGGAATCTGTGTAAATTGGTGAGGAAATTAAGTAAAAATGTACCAAAAAATGTAAGCAATTCCAGCCTATTAGGAGGCAACTACATTCACTTTTTTGAGTCAGATCAACTTTACTGTTTTGTTGACCTAACCTATTCCATTTTTTTATAAAAGGAGAATTTTTCATTAAATTAAGTGAGAACTAAAAAGATGTGCAGACTTTTGACTAAAACTTTGACATAAAAATTTAAGTTGACCTGACTTTTGATGTTTATAGACTAGCTCCTCCATCTTTTGTTACATGAGGTATTTATAGAAAAAAATTCAAACTGCTATTTCAGTAAAATAAACAACAAAGCATGCATAAAGCACTGTGGATTTAGCAGCATCAGGCTAAACATCCCACCACCAAAGAATCTATAGTCTATCGAAGAATCTATCAATATATACATTTTGCTGCCAGTAAATGATTTAAATGAAGTTTCGCCTTGTATGACTCACCCCCCAAGCGGCCACTCCCAGTCTTATTCTCTTACTGATGGCTGTCATTTACATTACCCTTTGTTTCCTAACTGAAATGTGAAAGTGATGTCATAGGCGTGGACCTTTCTTTGTAACTATCATAATTAGTCTATTGAGAGCTGAGGTTAATTTATGCAAATCATCCAAAGTTATACTGTAATTTCGTATAAATCTCTTACTCTTACATTAGAGCAAAGTTTCTCAGTCTAGATCTCGTGAACCTCAGGCCAGACCAGGTTTTTGTTCTGTTCCACTTTCTCACGATCAACTAATGTATCTAGGCTGTTTAAACTGGAATAGAATAAACATGTGAACTGGCTGAAGGTCTCTGAGGGTTAGATTAGGAAGATCTTCTTTAGACCAGATGTGATTGCCCAAAGCTTTGAACTCTGACACCATGGCCTCTGGTCTCACAGAACTTGGACCTGTCCCTGCTGAAAAAAACAGCACTGGTTTATGCTGGTCTGGTGCATGATCGTGTTGGTTGACCAGCATACCAACATCCGAAACACATATGCTGTTTTTGCTGGTGATCAACCATGCTACTCTATGCTGTTTGTTCTAGTAGATGTTCTGTGATTAAGTGCTCTACATCATTGTGTGGGATGTGCGAGGCTACATGGCTGCAAGCTTATGAGAAGATATCTGTGAAGATATTTTTCTTTTGTTTAAATAAAAAAAAAATCTGCTCTAATTTTAATGTAAGTCAGTGGATCCAGACTTTTGTCCGAGCAATTTTGGGTTGTTTCTTTCGGTCCATTCATCATGAAATTTACACACAATGTAAAGGGCAACAGGTATTTTCAAATTATGTAAAAAACTGAAAAACGACAACAGCAAGTCCGACAGCAGCAATCTGTTGTGTTTTGGAGGCTGGTATGCTGGTCACCCAGCTTAACCATGCTGAGTTACCAGCTAAAACAGCACTAGACCAGCACTAGTCCAGCACAAACCAGCATAGACCACCCTAGACCAGCATGAAATCAGAGGTGTAAGTAGAATTACATTTACTCTCGTTACTGTACTTGAGTACAGTTTTCCCTGTAACGGTACTTTTTGGAGTAGAATTAAATCATAGTCCTTTTACTCTTACTTGAGTTCATACTTAATGAAATACTTTTACTTCGCTACTTTAATTTTCATAACGTTTCAGAGTGAAAATAAATTATGCGCGCATCAGCTCAGACACCAATACGAACGACGCACAGTTAGATTCAAAAGATTCACTAATCGAAAACACTACAGAGAGATCCAGTTTAGTGGAGGAGAACTGAACCAGCACACAGGAGGAACAGACTCGGCCAAACGGTCATCTGTGTCATTTTCATATGAACTAAAGAAAACGGCGTTATTATCAGCGGCCAGACACGAAACCTGCTGAGATCCGCTCTCACAGCTGGACTCCAGCCTGAGGCAGCGTTAGCCGAGCTAGCTGATCCGAGCTGGTGCCGTGTTTACGGGTTTCTTCTTTCTATTATAATGAATCTGTTTATGAAACTAAAAATCTGCTGCGTATATTTTATTACAAGTGTCTGTCAGCTGCTTAGGTTAACGGATGTCGCCCACAGCGCACAGTTTACCGTTTAAAATACAGCCTGCTGTTTTGGGGGTAAACGGTCGTGAACGGCTAAATAAATCTAATCTAATACAGGTTCTTTGCAAACTCTGGAAAGTGATTCTGTCGCGCTGACGACTGGCCTGATCTGACCCCTCCCCACCCTCTCTCTGTCTTTCTAACTCTCTCTCTCTCTCTCTCTCTCTCTCTCTCTCTCTCTCTCTCTCTCTCTCTATATATATATATCTTGCTCGCTCTCTCTGTTCCTCTGTCTTTCTCTGTCTTCCTCTCTCTCATCCCCTGTCTTTCTCTGTTCCCCTCTCTCTCTGCCTTGGTGTTTGTCTTTAACTGTGAGAGTCTGTGTAGCTGTTTAACTGTCTAATGCAGTAATAATGTCTGATTCTGTATGCAGTGATCAGCATGATTAGTGAAATACATTACAGTAAAAATCAGAGCTGGGTAAGTTGCTGATGTTGCTGCTGATTTTAATGGTGTAAATGTTCTGAACAGATATCAGTGAAAATATACAGTTTGAAGGCTGTGAGAGCTTTTCCTTTAGTGTTTTTCTGTACACATTATTTCCAATGATGTAGCCGAGTCAGCTCAGAAATATGTTCAGGTTGTGACAGCGGAAATACGAAAAAGTAACTAAGCAAGTCAGTACTTAAGTAGTTTTTTAACAAACTACTCATTTACTCTGACTTGAGTAATTTTATTTACTAATACTTTTACTTGTACTTGAGTAAATTATCACTACAGTAACAGTACTTGTACTTGAGTATTGATTTTCAGTACTCTTTACACCCCTGCATGAAATGCATGCTGTTTTTTTTTGTTTTTTTGTTTTTTTTCAGAAAATAATTTGTATTTATTTTTTGGCATTCCTTCTGTTTCTTTGTGTGATCACACATGTTTCCCTATTGGATAACTCCATGAGCAAAGTCTACTGAAAGCAGCATCTCAAGCGGCCTCTCTAGAAGTTCACAGAAAGTCAGCATGTTCCCCTTCATGGCTTAGATAAGTTGCAGAAATAGAGCCATATGGCCCTGTGGACTGCATGTCTGCAAGTCTAAAAAAGACCACAGATTTAGAATGGACTAGTGTCACTCTCAGAGAAAAACTGTACCTTTTTATGGTACAAATGCTGTCCCTGTGGTGGTATCCTCAAGAATACGTCTTTGGTACCTTTAGTTAGGTACAATTTAGGTACTTAGCTATGAAAATTAATAATGCAGCTTTCCTCTGGGGAACTGAATGCAATGCATTTTTACAACTTATTCAGGGTGAATTTGAGTGTAGATTTACAATGTTTGTACCTTGGAAGACTAAATTTGATTCTGGCAGTGTAATAAACTACCATTTTTTAACTATATTGTTTCTGCATACGATTTATTTGTGCTTATAATAAGAATCTAACAAAAACCCATTTCTGTCAGTAGGGCGCAGGACATATGCAATGCTGATATGCTAAACCTGTGGAGAGAGTCCCATTGTTGTCTTACAACACAATTTGTAGTCACATCCAGAAAAAGGACACAAAAATATTTTGTAAATTATTTAATGAAACAGAAAAAAATGCACCATAAGAAATCTTAAACATCATAACTTTCAAAAAGCTCAAAATCTGAAGCGATATTCAAAGCAACAACAGCACAAAGTGAAAATCAGAAGGTAAACACAGCAGTTCTGCTGGAAATGGATATTACTCACTGCCTGCACCGTTATCTCCATGATTTCAGGGCACATTTGAATTTAGATCTCCACTTATACAAATACAGATACACAATTCGCTTCAAAACACACTGAGAATTCTACACCGAGGAGTCGGTCAGTAAAGAACAGGAACTCACACATTAGTAAGGTTAAATGTATGGATACTGTGGAAAAGAGGTTTAAGGGCTAAGTAAGGGGTAGAAAAAGAGTCTTACTTATATCAGAAACTAGAGGAGAACTGCTTTAAGCTCCTGAGGTATCATGACAACTTGTAATCCTCAGTATTTTGGAAATACATTGCATATAGCAGAAAATACTCTTTTTGGTAAGATGCAAATAAACGTGTCCAAAACACACAATATGTCTAGAATTCAACAGCTCAGATGAGCAGTGCTCCAACATGCACTCATGAACAGGCCATTATAAGCCCCTTTTGACAAAAACAGTGTTGGGCAGTGTTAAAAGAGAAAGAGCAGGCAGTCACAGTGTGAGTAGATGATAAGTATGTGAGAAGGTGGCCTGAACCACTTAGCTTAGTGACAACTGCATCTCATTATCACAGTTCATCTCTCAGGAGCAGCAACATGTCCCTAGACAGTGCATCTGAATACACAGCTATGGAAATGAAAGTGACACTGAGCAGAAAACAAGGCTGACAAACCTAGATGTGGGAAGACATACACATGGAGGTAAACGGGTAAAAATTCTGGTGCTTTGTGTAGATGGTGGTTCAAACAAGATGGCTTAAACTGTGCCAACAGTTTACTGAAAGCCACCAAGACCTTTTACAGTGATAAAAAAGCAGAAGTGGGTAAAGTAGCTCAATCCAGTACTCAAGTAGAAGTAAAAGTACCACCGCAAAAAACAAGTTGAATGGAAATCACACTTTGATTACAGGAAAATGAGAATTTTGTCTTTTAAATTATATATGGTGCTTAATATGACCAGGGACATGAAGAAACAAGGTTAAAAATGTCTATTTTGACCAAATGTTCAGCTTGAGTATACTGAGTTCCCTACAGAACTGCAGTGGGACTACTTCCCAAATAGCAAGAAGACAGCGTGCCACTTTTCCTCATTCACTTTCCACTCAGTCCAATTGAGTTATTTATCCTTTGTTTAGTAAATATTTCATATCATAAATAATGCCGGTTGTACAGCTGTAACAAATGCAGCACAGTATCAGCAACAACATTCCTTACAGATATACTTGAGTTGAAGAAAAGGTAGTGTCATTTGAAAAATACACAGTAATACAGTTTCATTGCAAGTTGAGTACATGTAGCCGAGTTACTAACCCACCTCTGACATGAAGTAGCGACACCATTATACGAGCATTGAGCTACTGGATATAATTGAAGAGGTTACTTCCTCTTCTGGTGTGCTGAAGTAAAATCCGTAATGACGTGATGTGTAAATTAAATAAGGGGAGCTTACACTGTGCCGTTGAGTGCACGGGGAAATGCACATTGCGCACCTTGGACCGAACCTAATCAGACAGTGTGCAAAGTAACTTGAACTCTTCTCTCTCATGTTACAGAACACATTGTGCATGGGATTTTTTTTGTATTTTTCCTGCTACCAATGCAAAAGTGCATTCGAGATTCAGGCAGTAGCACCACTGGTTTATGAGGTCACATCTCTTCTTCTCGGCTCTCACTTTCTCCTCCTCCCGCAATATTTGCCTTGGCACCCAGTACCCCCTGTAGTGAAATACACAGCTGAAGTGACCACATGGAAACGTTCTTTAAGCTCTTTCTAATAGCTGTATAAGTGCTTAGTAACAACTAATCATTCAAATTAAGAATTTTGGAAATAGGAAAGCCAAAAGAGAACAATGTTATCAATATATTCTTTAAATCATGCATTTATAAACATGCAGTGTACCTCGGTACCCCCCTAGAAGGCCTTGGAGAGCTGCATATTTGGCTGCTTTGGCTGTAGAAAGCATAGACAACGCAATAAGTGTATAAAAGATCTAATTTACAAAAGCACAAAGAGCATTCCCAACAAATTGATTAGTTATAGCTGCACCAATCACTGACGTTGAAAGAGCAAGCAATTTGACATGCATGTACTTTGTTCACAGTCTGTTATTGTCTAGGTCTCAGGACAGAAGCATATGCAATGTGCAATATGCCAGTAGCAAAATTTGATTGAATTTTGTTAAAGACAAGCCACAAAGAATGTGGCATACAGTACTGTGCAAAAGGTCAGAGACCACCTTTCATGTATTTAATTTCTAGTCAAAATGGCCATTAAATACAAGTTATTCATTTTTCAGTTGATATTTCCAAAGAGATTAGATAACAGACTTCAGTTTGCATTAGGAAGGGGAAAATCAAAGGAAAAAAAGTGGATAAGTATTTAAAAAAAAATGATTAAAAGATATAGAGTAAATAGGACTCCCAACAACAATGCAACACTTGGAAACCACAAAAACCGCTTCAAGCTTTCATCTTTGACAGACTACTTGGATCATGAGAAGCACAAAATGCAACCAACTTCAAAGACTGAACTTTGGAGGCGGAGATTACTTTGAAAAACTGGGAGCAAGTCTCCCAAAAAGACAGGAAGCTGTAATAAAGGCAATGGCCGTTTTGACTAGAAATTGAACAAATGACTTTGGTGCAGTACTGTATATACACTGATTTTTAATTAAAATACCATATATTCTTGAATTTGATAAGCAGATCAGTGCTTCATTAATCTAATTCATCTGTAATGTGGAACTGAGGAAAGTCCTACATTGTTGAGGTGTAAGTGGTGCACTTCCAGCTCCTCCTGGTCCAGCTCCACCATAGCCTGATAGCACAGAACAACAAGGCATTTAATGTATTTCTATGGTTTTAGAACTTATGAGCTGTGGTCAGATATCTATAATTAAAAACATGCGGAGTGAGTGACCTTCATTACCTGGGAATGGCTGCTGATAACCACCAGGACCACCCCCACCATAGCCAGGCAGTCCACCTCCTGTATGAGTATTAGGGGTTATACTTTCATAACTACAGCCTATCAAGCCACTTTATATGTGCAATAATTACAAATTTTTCTTTTAATAGAATGCATTTGCCTGTAACACAGCAAATACGGAAAATGTGAAGAATGTCTTACCTGGCTGGTAACCTTGACCACCAAAGCACCTGTGCCATACCCTGTAACACAAGAGAGAGGCAACAGAATAGAACATGATCTTTAATATCATTCCTAAGATATCCTTCAGTACAGTTTGTTTAGCATATAGTTGTATAAGCGATGTTATGATATAAGGATTTGTGGTACATTCCTTGAACAGACATTAAAGTACACAGTAAATAAACAAGCAGCACCTGATTTTCCAGGCTTCCCAGCTCCAATACCTGCAGCACCTGGGTACCCGAGGCCTAAAAACACAAAGAACATTGTGACAGTTTTAAGTCTTACTTCACAACAGCACTGTTCGGCTTGATCTTCTCAAAGTTGCATAACATACCTCCACCAACTCCAGCTGGGCTTCCACGTACACCTCCAGGACCTCCGCCCACAATCCCACCTGCACCTCCAGCACCAACTCCAATGCCCCCTGCTCCACCGAAACCACCATATCCTGTAAAAAGAGACAACATACTGAGAAGCTAATCATACTGATCTGCATTATATAGCTATGATAATTATGAGCTGGTGAAATTTTGAAGTATCTCTATGTGTGGGTCAAAACACATATTACACATAATATGATTTATGTAATTAAGATTTTTGTTCTTATTCTTGGATTTATGTTCCCACTGAAAAGTAATTAAACTGATAAAATTAAGTGTTAATTCCATTTTAACAGTTGCCTTAAGAAGTGTTTGCTCCAGATGCAAAAAACACAAAAAGAACAATCAAACTGAATTAATTAAAAAAATAAAAAGAAAACAAAGTCATTAACAAATAAAAATAAATCAGCCCATCATGAAACTGTCAGGAAATTCCTAACTTTAGGAACCTGTACTACTACAGCACAACAGTGACAGATTTTCGTTGTTTCCATGGGTCCATAACTCATCGATTTTTGTTGGCACTGGGATCTAGTTTGGAAATTCATTTGAATCATGAAAGCCATTGTTAGTGTTCAGGTAACACATAATCATTATATTAGTCATGTAATTGTGTGTTGAATGTGTGTCATTCTTTTCCATGTACATATATGTCTTATTCTGCCTGACATATCTAATTTGTCTGATATGTCCCTTGAAATGACCACTGATGGAGATTTTCAGGTGTCAGACACCAAACATTTAAGGAACACCAGAGTGGCTTTAGTTGTGCAGTTATACTTTAATTTGTAAATATTCAAATTCATACAACAGATTTGTTTCAGAATAAATGTATTTTCGACCACAGACAGAGGAGAACCATCATCACAACTGGGTGGGTATTCAAACAGGCGGCACCTGATTTCCCAGGTTTTCCAGCTCCTACTCTGAGTCCTGCTCCCCCTGGGTAACCCAAACCTGAAAGGCAAAAAATACACAATCTTAGACAATATTACAGTTCTATTTCAAATATGACTGACTGATGTAGTGCATATAAAAGTGATTTTCCTGATCTCTGCTCTTCACATTTTTAAGTTTTTCCCTGTTCCAGCACACTTGATTCAAATAATAAGCAAATTAACAAAATCTTCTTGGTGTTCTAGAGCAGGAAACCACAAAATGTACATGTGTTCCAAATACAATGACTGGGAGCCACTGACGGACAGGGCCTTAATGATATCAACTTTTTAAAACAAGCGTTTTTAGAGATTCTTGCTGTAAAAGTAATACTTTAAGAAACAAGAAACCATAATAGATTTAAGAAACTAGACACCAAAAGCTATTTCCAGATTTATTCAATATTTCTCTCATACATTCCCACGAACAACAAGAATGAATAAATAATATTCTGTAATTATCTATAGTGGAGTCCAAAAGTCTGAGAACATATTAAAATCTGAGATTTATTTATGAAATAAACAACAGAGTGTTTTAGAATTGTGAAAAATTGAAAGCAAAGAGAAGTTATGACAAGCAAAATGAAGAAAAATGTTCAAGATTCTGCAAAATTCTGTCTAGGTTAAGGTTTAAAAACATTCACGCGTTCACCCTCAGTCCACAGATACAAAAACAGCCCATTCTACATTCCTTGTTTCTGTGAGGTCACGAAATCCAACACATTTACATAGATCAATCTAATCAGCCTAAAGCACTTTAGCCCTGCCCATTCACAGTGAAGTTAGAAGGAGTGTTTCAGCTCTGAATGCTTTTGGAATGATGCACAATGCAGGGCAGTTAATCAGAACAGAGCTTATTTACATATATCAGTCTTACAAGCACAGTCACAAAAACAGCCTGTTGAGTTCTAAGGGAAAAAGAAAGGTTGTGAAAATGCACATAAAAATAAATAAGGACTGTTTCTGGTACATAAAACCACATGCATGTTAATAATGTACCTCAGGGATAAAAAAAAATAAATAAGATAAATGTAGGATGTGGGTCCATTGACCACGTTAAGTTACATGTTCGGAGAAGATGGATTTAATCTATTTATTGGCTTTTGTACAAACATCCATGCAAACTTGAGTGCAGCTGTCATTAAAGTAAAAGGGGGACTTAACAAATGCTAAGGAATTCTGAAACTGATAATAGTGATATAATGTAATGTAAATATTTCTGTTCTTACTTTTCTAAATTATGCTGATAATATAATTTGTAATAATTTGTAAATTGTAAATAATTTTGTATTTAAAAAAAAACAAAACATTTTCACTAGTGGTCTCAGACTTTTGGACCCCATCGTATATAAAATACATTTTTGTCCAGTTATCTGCCTCGAGATTTGATCGCAACTTTTGAAACACAAGGCATCTTGAATAATGATTTTATTATAACTTTGGTCTTCATGCTCACAGCCATGTTCATCTAAACTTCTGAATGGTGATTCTGAACGTGTGAACAGCGTACTTTAATTGTTAAAGTAATATACCTCCGCCAAGACCACCCAGTCCTCCTCCAACTCCACCAGGTCCTCCACCAATGCCTGCTTGACCTCCACCAATTCCTCCTGCACCACCACCAACACCCCCAGGCCCTCCTCCTACTCCTCCTAGGCCTCCTACTCCACCGACTCCACCAGCTCCAGCTACCCCATAGCCTGTTTTCACAAAAAAATTAGCAGCTGTGTCACAACCTAACTGCATTTGAATTTTTGCTTGCTTTACTATTAGCATGTAGAGTAAAGATGCTAATAACATACTTTTAGGTGGCTTCCCAGTTCCAGGACCATATCCAAGACCTATAAAACAGAGCTTTATTAGTAGCTACAGATACCGTTGGAATATCATGGCTTGTAATCATTATGGGCAACAGTAAGTCTATATCTAAGTAAGGATAGTCAGTGCCTTTAGTTGTCAGCAGCAGTGGGTCTGGAATAAATGTTACAGAAGTAAAAATCCATCAGTGCATCGATCTGAAGGCGGCAATTCAACTGCAGTAAATTTTACAAAAATATTGATGTTATTGTGTCTAATCCACTACTGTGGTTCCTCCTGTGTACTGAAGTTCCTCCAATCTTTTATGTATTCAGTGTATATAAATTTCTCTTGATTTTTCTGAGACATGTGAAGCCAGCCATTGCATCTTTTCTGCCGCTAATGCAATGTCAATGTACAGCTCAACATGCTTGAAGGAGAAGGCTAACTGTCCATTCTATGACATCAGCTAATAGACACCTGCATTAAGTAGCATCGCGCTGAGTGAAGAGGGGAGAGGGAGAGCCAGTGAGGGTGAGTCCAATTATGCTCTCTTGGATTGCTGTGGCATCACTGAATTGTGGTGAGCTCAGAGATTTACAGCCCTATTTGATATTATATTTAAGTTGTGCAACACAGCACAAACTCACCGCCAGTTCCACCAGGCCCACCTAGTCCACCAGGGCCTGTCCCATAGCCACCCGGTCCTGTTCCATAACCACCAGGTCCTATTCCATAACCACCAGGTCCTGTTCCATAACCACCAGGTCCTGTTCCATAGCCACCTGGTCCACCTGCAGAACTGCCTGGGCCTCCAGCACCACCGAGCCCCCCAGCACCAGCCCCTCCAGGTCTGCCTAGTGCTCCATAAGCTGTGATCAATGTAAAAGTACAAATTATATCAAAAGTATATAAAAACATTTAGATCTTCATAAATAATGAAATTTAGTTTAAACTGTTTGAATATTCACTATTGGAACTTTTTAAGGATACCTTTTCCTTGTTTGCTGCCCACAGCAGCTCCACTTGGAAACCTTAGACCTGGAAAATATCAGAGAACATGAATATGAATATGAGGATATGAGGAGAATTCTGAGAGACATTGATAATGGGTTTGAAAGAAACTGATTCATGATAACATGAATCAGTTTAAACACAGTACACACATTTAAGATGCAAAATATTAATGATGCAATCATCTGTACTTCACTCCAAAACATTTACTAAGAGAATGCATAGAGACTAGAGGACCTATTCTGAAGTTCTAAAAATGAAGGAGAACAGCTTTTAAAAAGGAGAGCTCCTGCCTCCTTTCGGCTTTTAACTGTAATTCAGAAGGGCTTATGCTCACTTTTGAACAAATAAGGTCATGAAAACATACCATTTATTGGCAAGATCCCGCTGGCACCTAAACTTCCAGTTCCTCCATAACCTACAATCAGAGGCAACATCTTGACAAGAAGAATCAAACTGTTCCAACACAATAACTGATTACCTAATATGGTCAAGCTGTACATATTCTATAAAATGGACATTCTTAATTGTATTTTAGGATTGTGCAATACAGCAGGACCTTTTTAGATAACTAAATAATATTTGTCTTTTTAGTTCTGTCTTACTTAAACATACGTAGTGAGTCACAAATGGCCTGACAATTTTCAAACACAGTGAACCATAAAGTCTGAGGCTAGGATTTATTCTTGAATGAGAAACTGGACTATTGTCAGAGTAAATCTGACTCTTCACTGTGACCAGTTAATGGTTTGCATACTTTTAGCAAGTTTCTGTGCTCCAGTTCCTGTTCCTGCACCTCCTGGAAGGAGACTGCTGCTTCCAGGCAAAAAGCCAGATCCCGCTGTCAATCCAGGTCCTCCAACTCCACCTGGGCCTCCAGTGCCACCAATGCCTCCGACACCAAGGAGTCCTCCTCCACCTGGACTACCATAACCTGAAGTCGGACCAAAGTCAATTTTTCATTATCAGGAGAAAAGCAAAAATACTACATATATTAAAGGAAAAGTTACACAGAAGATTCAAACAATTGAATACATTTTTGTTCACTATTTACAGTGTCCACCTTTGTCTTTATTACAGCTTCCATTCTTTTCGGGAGACTTGTTTTCAGTTTTGAAAGAAATCTGCAGTGTTATTTTTCCACATTTCCAAAGTTTAGTCTTAGAAGTTGGTTACATTTTCTGCTTCTTGAGACCCATACACATTCCGTGATGTTGAGGCCTGGACTTAGGTCTGGTGGCCAGTCCACTGTTCTGAGAACAGCAGCAGTTCTTTGTAAGATCTGCAATTTTTTTCTTTTTTATCTTTTTCCTTTTCTCAGTAAGGGCTTCTGGACAGCTACACAACCTTTCAGACTCATAGCACTGAGTTGTCTTCTCACAGTGGAAGGATGGACAAAAACACCTGTGGATTTTTTTAGCTTTAAAGCAAGAGTGGAGCTTGGTTTTCTCCTAACTCTCAAAGATTAAGCACTGTTTATCTGATGGTGACAGTTCTGGTGGTCCACCAGTTCTTGCATGGCTGTTAGGGGTCCCATGTTTTCTATATCTTTTAATAACTAATTTTTTTACCTTATTTTCTTCTAACTTATCTGGATTGTCTTGTATCTAATTTCCTCAGAAACATCATCTAAAATATTAATAACTTGTACTTGATGGCAATTTTGACTGGAAATTAACTTAATGAAGGGTGGCCTCTGACTTTTATACAGTACTATAAATATATATGTAACATGTGCATAATACAGTTTAATTAAGTACACTTAAAAGAGAATTTGGAGATGAAGTGATTAATAACCTTTGGGTGGTTTAACTGTTCCAGCTCCAACTCCACCTGGTCCACCTCCAACCCCACCTGGTCCTCCTCCAACCCCACCTGGTCCACCTCCAACTCCACCTGGTCCGCCTTCAACTCCACCTGGTCCAGCTCCAACTCCACCTGGCCCACCTCCAACTCCACCTGGTCCTCCTCCAACTCCACCGGGTCCACCTTCAACTCCTCCAGGTCCAGTACCAGTTCCACTAGGCCCTCCACCAACACCACCTGGCCCAACACCAGTTCCACGTGGACCTCCACCAATAGTGCTTGGAGTGTCCCCACGTCCAGCTATTACACCACCTCCAGCACCTACAGTACACATGACAACAATTCCCTACATGTTCTGGTATCACTAAAACTAATCAAGCTCGAACAGCAGTGAATTAATTCAATGCCATGTCAAGTATTCTGAAACTGTGGTAAAGGGGCTTGGAATACCTGGAGGCTTTAGGGGTTTGGCTCCTGGTAGACCTTCACCAACTCCACCTGTGCAAGACCACATTCAGTCATCATTCAACATTCAATCATACCTCACAGGAAAATCCTGATTATAACCATTTTTAGATAACTGTTTTCACAAATGGATTAATAGCTGTAGACGTATGTATAACCACTGGGACCTCATGTACTTTAAGAAAATATTGCATTTTTTTCGACAGCTTCACATTGTCAATAAAAACTTAAATATACAAGAACATCTTCCTTCAGAATCTGTGCATAACCTTTGTGATACTAATGTATGATAAGTATCTATGCAGAAAGCTGTTGATATGAAGTTATGGGGATCACTACTTCTTCTTTTTGCATCTTTCACAAGAACAATGAACAGCCAACACCAGCGTCTAATGAAGAGGTTTATGTTTTAAACAACTATTAAATCTACCCTCAGATACTTCTTTAAATATATTATAGAAATATACTGAAGATCAGTTCTTCATTTTAATTGTCAAAACTTTTTTTCCAAATATAAAAAATGTGTTGTTTATTTCCAGGTTAAAATGAAAATAAAACAGATTTTCAGTGCAGTATCAGACTGTTGGACTCCATTGTATATATATATATATATGTCATTTCATACATAAAATACTTTGTTTAAGGTGAAGTGGAATGTCCCACAGGGCCAGCATATGTTCAGAAATGGCCCTACTTGTAAATGCCATCTTTACAAGGTGTGGATGCCATTTTCCATGTTGCAGTTAACTTAGAAATTTACATCAAAATGATTATCCTGTACCTAAAATGAATGTAATAGAAATATCTGCTGCAATTAAAAATGTAGTAGCCGCTCTTACTTTTTTGGTAGCTTATGGCAGACATTATTTTTTTGGCAATGGGGCCCATAAGATTACAACTGCCGTCATAACCAATGCCAGTGGCAATACTTATACAAGTTATACTTATACTTAAAATCATGATCAGTCTCAACACCAATTACTGATGAAGTGGCCAAGACCTTAAGTGATAAGACTTAAGACTACTTAGGAGCAATACTTAGAATTGTTAGTGAGTTAGTTTAAATTAAAAGTTTAAATCAGAAGCAAATGTTTAATGTCAACGGGGAATACGCAAATGTTCAGTGGAAGAATATGATACAGGATAAAAAGACAATAAAGGAGTGAACATATTGAGAGAACTTGAATGGACACACCTTGGAAAACTAAGAGAGCTGCATGCTCACCACCAGGGGGAGCCCAACACTGTTTATGTGAATAAACGGTGAACACTTAATTCTATTACTTACCAACACTTGGTCCAGCTATCAAAACAAAAGGGGAAAAAGAGTCAGTACACATCATTATGTATATGCATGTAAGCTTGACATATTAAAGTCACTTTGTGATTTCTTCACTGCTACCCCTGTGCAGCCATACAACATGACTTAACTACACTACCAGTCAAAACTACTTAACTACACTACCAGTCAAAAGTCTGGACACACCTGAATTAATGTCCAAAAAAGTATATTTTAAACAATGTTTTTTGAGTAGCTTTCATGTAAGACTTGAACCACAATCAGTATTACAGATCACTTTATGTGACATGTAGACCTTGATAACTTGAAAAATGTCTACTTTTATTGTTCTTTAGATAAAAGAAAGTCTTACTTTCTAGTATTGGCTCTCCTGTTCCACCTGCAAAATGAGAAAAGGCTGCAGGTAAGTCTGACAGCAATAGGCAAACAGTTTAACAGATGAACAATATTCTACTAATTTTCTCCTCAATGAAGGTTAAGCAACAAATCAGGAAGTGAACTGGCTACATCCAAAATATGGAAAGCAGAAAACTATCAATATTTGATCAAGAAGCTTTACAAAACACATTTTAACTGAGATAAGTGTACATGAATGTATACTTTGGGTGTACATTTTATCTGACAATTTCCAAGAAATAGCTATTATTTAGTAGAGATTTTATTTGAAGAACATATCAAATAAAGATACTATTTGGGGTCTAGGAGGTTCAGATCATTTCCCTTTTAATATCTGCACTACAACATCTTCCAGAAATGGAATGACTCATTGAGAGTTCTCTTATTACAATATCACTGCAGTCTTGCCTCCTGGATGATTCATGGTTCACTGGTAACACTTTACTTAAACCATGCAGAATAACGTTGACACAACCAAGCCATAAACTTATCACGGAATATGGTGGCATACGCTGTCATGAGTTGTTGCTCTAACTATGTCATGTTACTGTTACCGGCAAGTATACTCTAGTTATCTGTCACAACATCAAACATTATGACATCTTCTTGTGACAATTAATAGTAATGATAACATGCCACTGTCACGTTGCTGAACAAAACGCCAACTGGTGGTAAACTGTGATAACAGAGAGCTTTGTAATCTTGTGACCTTGTGCTTCAGGTGATCATAATGTAGAATGTATATAGCTTAAGCCTGACTGTTCTGCCTAGAATTAGTGTAAATCAGAGCAGGGTTCAATTTTTGCGTGTGAGTATTTAGCACCAAAAAACATGAGCATATGCAAAGCAATACCTGGCTTTGCTCCAGCTAAGATGGGTATTCCTGTCCCAGCAACCCCATCAAATCCATCTCCTTCAACAGGTCCACCAGTAACACCTACATTAAAAAACACGAAGCGCAAATGACTTCAGAAATTCTGAAATCAAACTACTTAATATGTTCATAATGTATTAATTAATGTTTATAAAAAATATTATTTTGGATAGTGACTTGCTTCTACCTTCACTTGGGCCACCTCCAATGGAGCTTCCAGATCCTTCTAATGTTCCACCTGTTTCTCCTGTATGATTGAGATGAATCATTTTAAGTTATTTGTATAATGGTTATTAGGGAATGAGGACTGGAAAACACTCTGAAGGAAATTCTTACCCAACTTCGGAGCTTTAGTACTGCCTGTGTAGAAAACAGCAAATTCATAAAACAGCCTTTTAAGTTTAGCTTCACATTTGACAATACTGTCCCAATGTATTATGAGTATCATGAGTCTTTTATCAAAAACTAAAACTGTGTTGTACATGTCAAGTTTGTTACTAACCTGGTTCATCACCAGTAACATTAACTGTCCCAGCTGTTGCACCAGGCACAACAACTTAACAAAGAAATAAGAAAGACAATTACAACATTGCTGCATAAAATATTATTTCTGTCTTTTTTAGTTTTTTGTCTAAGAGTTAAATTTTATTTCATTGAAGTTTTATTTGCTTTCCCTCTAATATTATGCCCTATACATTGATAATCATTAGGTAAAAAATTGGTAACATTTTATGATAATGATGGTTTATAAGATATCTATTAGTTGTTACTTCATAATTGACTAATAATGAACTAATGAGGTGTTTAGAGTTAAGAAATTTTACTTTGTATTACTTTGTAAGGCACATGTAAACCATTACTTGATTGTGGTTTACAAATGATCTGTAAGTGTATAGTCTATAGTCACCTTCCTATAGACTCCTTCCATGTAGCTCCGCATTATCATTAGTGTTTACACCTTGTGTAGTTTGTTGCCCCTCCTTTCCCAGGTGTTTTCTATTTTTAACTTTGGTTTAAGTAGTTATCATGTTTCAGTTTGCCTTTGTCTGGCATCAGTTGCTTAACAGTGATTCTGTCACAAATGGAAGCATCGATGGATACTCTGATGGATCAGAGCATTTATTAAGATTGTTTGTAGACTAATATCCGCTATCCTAGTGTAAAGTTTGAAAATGACTTACGGGCATTTATAGACATTTAATTACACTGAACTGTTCTCACTTTGGATTAAGAACTGCAGAACTGACAGATTGACGAACTGCAAAAATGTTGCAGACAGTATACATATACATTATTTGTAAAACATGACCAAAAAAATCACTGCTGTTTGTTAATGTTTAACAAATCATTTAGAGGCCTAAAGGTTTTAGCGTTCTTTTTATTGGGGTTTACAAAAGATACGTTGCATAAAGAGGCAAGATCATTTTCTTTTAGATGTCTTTGGTAAATATACACATAATATATTCACTAACAGCGGATTTTTACACAATAGTGGAATTTACACAGTCTCTAAAAATCAACAAGTAACAAACAAACAGCAACAAACTGATTAAACATCACTAAAGTGAATAAACTTAATTAAACACATTACCTCCATCAACTCCTGTTTTGGTTCCCTGATCTGTGGATGTGGCTGGTGTGCTGCCAGGAATGACTGCTCCTCCTAGTGTTCCTCCAGTAACGCCTGGCACTCCTGGGGTCAAATTGAGAACATTCTTGGTGGGCTTCTGTCTGGTGTGAGACTCACAGACAAGTAAAGTGCATCAGACTATTTCATTAGCAAGAGGAAACACAAACTCACTATATTTATCTGCCTTGCTTCCTGTGACTGCTACACCTCCTGGTCCACCTGCAATACCTACAAACCATTAATGAATTAGCTTTGATTAATTGAATTGTCCAGTTAATTATCGAATAATCATAAATTAAAAATTTTCCAGTGGTTTATTGTCACCTGTGCCAGTTGTAATTCCAGTTCCTCCTCCTGTGGTACCAACTCCAGCAACACCAGGCACCGATCCTGCTCCTCCTAACACACTTCCGAAGCCTCCTCCTGGTTGACCTAGTTGAAGCAGACAGTTGGCAGTTAATAGCTTCAGTGTTTATCGATCCTCTACTTTTTGAGCATACTTTTAAACAATCCTGGAGGCCCCGTCCAAAAGGTTCTTACCATACTTTGGTGGTTTTGCCCCAACTCCATATCCTGCATAGTTTTGAAGAAGAAGGGGGCATTTAGATCTCAAATTCAGTGACCTATGAGTATTAAAAACTTCAACTAACATTATTACAAGAACAAAGATCACTTTTGCTTAGTTATCAGAAACCTACCTCCATAGCCCCCAAAACCTGTACCTGGCACACTGCCAGGTACTGCACCAAGGCCAGCAGATCCAGCACCAAGACCACCTGCAAAGCCTCCAGGTAAAACTCCTGAATGGGCCAAAGAGACAAGATAAATAATCACTAGTCTATGACCACACTGGACATAAGCATGTCAGTTAGGGGCAACACATAACTTAGCCTTTAGTCTCATTCATCAGTTATCAGCGCTGATAAAATGGCTTCCAGCAGTAACACCATTTAATTGGGTGTAAAATGTAAAACCAAGTGGTCTCTGATAGGTGGATTAAAGATGTCCTGCTCACCACCGGGACCAGTGCTTACGACTCCTCCAGTTCCAGTGCTAGGTACTCCTCCAGCTCCTAATAGCCCCCCTCTTCCAGGTAAACCTGAAAAGCAGTAAACTGGATAAACGTACAAAAAAGGTATGCAGACATTTCTAATTGTGCCATTAGCGAAATCAGAAGCACTTTTTTCCAAATGAAAAGCAGTGAAATCCAAACTATTTGTAGCAGCAGGTACTGTGAAGTGCTAGTTTAAGAAGCATGGAACAAAAACATTTACAAATGTTCTACCAAACTTATGTTGAATGCAGGGCTGAACATAATCTGCGTTGGGAAAACAAGCCTATAGTGTATGTCGAGAGATACTGCACGTTATATAGTCGTATGCAGTCAAATGACGTGTTTTGTTGTTTTTCTAAGTGACAATAAGTTAACACATCCTCTTAACAAACTTAAATATAGCATTTTCTGCTAATTTTAAATGAGCAAGTTCTATTTGCTACATTTAACATACTGAAAAAATATAAAATGTGCCATAACGTTTGCATAGGCCACATGTTTTATGTTTTATTTTGTATTTCAATGTGTTTAATTTAGCACATAAACAGTAATTGTGTGTTATTTTCACTTAAAAATCAACTAAATGCCATTTGACCAGGGGCACTAAAACTTTTGCATACAACTATATGTCAAGATAAACACTTTACATACCATATTTAGCAGCTTTTGAGCCTGGTCTGTAACCTATCAAAAACAAAATATGTTACAATCAAGATAAATGGTTTGATGAAGTAAGTAAGAGTAAGCATGAGTAAGCATGAGTTTGCCCATTCCAGTAAACGCTAACTGGTGGTTTACATGATTGCTGTCTTACATATTTGTCAGCCCATCATTTAAAGAAACAGAAAGATACTTTAACATTATATTGTGCATATGTGGATGATCAGCTAAGCACTCACACATTTATATGTTTATTAGAATAAACATCAATCAGCGAACTGAGAGAATTCAAAATTGTTTACCTCCAGGCACAACGCCACTTCCAGGTAGACCTCCGGGTCCAAAGCCACCACCAGGCACACTGCCTGGTACACCACCAGCTGCCCCTCCTGGTGCCACTCCACTTCCAGGTAGACTTCCTATTGCACCAAGTCCAGCTCCTGTCCCACCTGGTACAACACCTGAACCAGGCAACCTGCCTGGAACTCCTCCTAGACCTGGTACCCCACCAGCACCTCCTAGTAGACCTAGATACACAAAAAGTCTTTTTTTTAATTTATGTATGTATGAAGGAAAGTTCCATTATCCTTACATCATCCTTGCCTGTGTAATTGAAGGGTTTTGTTCTAAAATGCATTATAAGCTATTTTCGAGAATCTTCTTTTTTATTTGTTGCTGAGAATGAGCTTTACCCATACAAGAACTATCAATTCCATATTATGATTAATACTAGATTTACTTAAAAAAATTGCTTTCCATTATACGTCAGCTGTTATAGACCTTTCTCACAATCAAACTTCTGCCAGCCGTTTAACAGAACGGAAAGGAGCGTCGCTGATTGTCAGCCATCCTTAAAAATCTTCTTTTGGCTTCAGTGCAGCCAAAGGAGAGCCGTTGGCGTGTCTGGTGGTTCCCCCCAACATGGATGAAAGGCTAGTTTGGTTGATTTGCGTTGCACAAAAGTTGAAAACATTTGAAACTGCGCATCTGCGACAGATTTCTTTGTCGTGCATTCTGCCCAGAATTGTGAAAATGTACATACAGCATTTTGGAATTAAACTTTTCAATTATTAAGAAAATGATCAAACTCTTGCCTTACCATATTTACGAGCCTTTGCTTCAGATCCATATACTGTGGAATTTTAGATAATAAAACAAATGATCAATAAAAAACTCTTTTTGATCAATTATTGCAGTTCCTTGACGACTGGTGATCTCAGGACAGAGTCAAGAAGACCAAAATAAAGTACACTGTCCAATACCTTAACCTGTTATGAAAATGTATTATCATCAAACTAGCTGATTTCAAATGAAATATATCCAGTTAAGATTTCATTGCATGAATTGAATGTAAGGTTTAGGTGTAAATTAAACAAACTTTTTTTATGGAAATCCATGACTTGATTTACCAAACCCCATACGCATTGTTGTGCAATAGTCTAAATACAGATCAGTTGTCTAATTATAATAGCACAACATTAATTAATACCTCCAGTTCCAGCACCAGGTAGTCCTCCGGTTCCAAGACCAGTTCCTACACCTCCACCAGGCAGACCACCAATTCTTCCAACTCCACCAGGATATATACCACCTCCAAATCCTCTGCCTGCTACATCAGTGGTCCCAAGCCCACCATGAGGCACTCCTCCTGGCAATGCTCCAGCACCTAAAGCTCCACCAGCACTTCCAAGCTGAGCTTTAGCAGACAATTAAAATGCAAATGATACATGAACCATGTATTACAACACTTTGTTTATTGCAGGTCAACTGGAATTAAGGTAAAAAAAAATTAAAATGATGTTAATGAATATTATAATTGGTTTACTAAGAACTATAGCGCTTTAGTTAAAAAATGGTCACATAACATTTCTTCTTATTACAAAAGAACACAGAAGACTTACCATATTTTCGAGCTTTGGCTCCAGCATATCCTGAAATGTGGAATAGGAACAATCAACATACAAAAATAAAAATCATCAAATTCTCAACACAAACAGTACAAAGAAGGTAGTTACCTCCAGGTCCAACGCCAAGTCCACCAGCTCCTAGTCCAGACCCAGGAAATGTACCAGCTCCAAGCCCACCAGCTCCAATTCCAGACCCAGGAACTCCGCCAGCTCCAAGACCACCAACTCCAAGTCCAGACCCAGGAACTCCACCAGCTCCAAGACCACCAACTCCAAGACCAGACCCAGGAACTCCACCAGCTCCAAGCCCACCAACTCCAAGTCCAGACCCAGGAACTCCACCAGTTCCAAGACCACCAACTCCAAGTCCAGACCCAGGAACTCCACCAGCTGCAAGTCCAGGAACTCTACCTGTTCCAATACCAGAGCCAAGGAGTCCACCTGTTCCAATGCCTGAGGTTGAAAGATCATTAGCATATATTTAAATAAATTAAAATTTTGCCCTTATAAGAAGCTGTTAAAAAACAAGTTGTTGGGAAGCCCTAACAGGAAGTTTTTATTTGGGCCTGCATTTTACGTTTCCCTGGAAAAATATATTTGTAATTCTATATAACACGTAACAGTGAGTTCATTCAAATTAATTTACATTTTCCTTACCATACTTCCGTGCTTTGGCTCCTATTCCTGGTAGGGATAAAACATGACACATGTTATTAAAGACATTACTATTCAGAATATCCTTTCCTTTTCTGTTTTCGTTTAAGTTTCATGAAACAGATGAGAACCAGTGAAAAATCATGTTTACCCTAAACTTACCTCCAGGATAGACACCACTACCTCCTGGTACACCTGCAGCACTAGGTATGCCTCCAATTCCAGGAATTCCACCTGCTCCAGGTACAGCACCAACACTAGGGATACCACCAACTCCAGGAACAGCACCAGGGATACCACCTGCTCCAGGAACAGTACCAGGGATACCACCTGCTCCAGGAACAGCACCAGGGATACCACCAGCTCCAGGAACAGCACCTGGGATACCACCTGCTCCAGGAAAAGCACCAGGGATACCACCTGCTCCAGGAACAGCACCAGGAATGCCACCTGCTCCAGGTATAGCACCAACTCCAGGTACACCTCCTACACCAAGTGTGCCACCTCCTAGTAGACCTAGATACATAAAAAGTTTTGATGATTTATGGATATGAAGGAAAATTACATAATTCTTGACTGTATAATTAAGGAGTTTCGTTCAAAAATGCATTATAGACTAATTTCAAGAATTTTCTTTTTTTATTTGTTGTTGGAAGTGAGTTTTACCCACACAAGAATTATCAATGCTATATTATGATTAATACTATATTCATTAAAAATAAAAATGTTTTTCATTATATGTCACCTGTTATAGACCTTTTTCACTATCGAACTTCTGCCAGCTCCGTTTAACAGAACGGCAATGGAGGGTCGCTGATTTTCAGCCCCCCTCAAAAATCTTCTTTCGGTCTCAGTGCAGTCAATAGGACAACAGTTGGTGTGTCTGGTAGATTCCACCAACATGGATGAAAGACTAGTTTGACTACAATTGCACAAAAGTTGAAAACATATGAACCTGCGCATCTGTGACAGATTTCTAAAATGGACATTACCTCTTCTTAATGAACACAGAAGACTTACCATATTTTCGGGCTTTGGCTCCAGCATATCCTGAAATGTGGAATAGGAACAGTCAATGTACAAATCCAAATACAAAAATAAAGACCATCTTAGTTTCTCAACACAAACAGTACGAAGAAGGCAGCTACCTCCAGGCCCAACGCCAAGTCCACCAGCTCCAAGTCCAAATCCAGGAACTCCACCAGCTCCAAGACCACCAACTCCAAGTCCAAACCCAGGAACTCCACCAGCTCCAAGCCCACCAACTCCAAGTCCAGACCCAGGAACTCCACCAGCTCCAAGTCCACCAACTCCAAGTCCAGACCCAGGAACTCCACCAGCTCCAAGTCCACCAACTCCAAGTCCAGACCCAGGAACTCCACCAGCTCCAAGTCCACCAACTCCAAGTCCAGACCCAGGAATTCCACCAACTCCAAGTCCAGACCCAGGAACACCACCTGTTCCAATACCAGAGCCAGGGAGTCCACCTGTTCCAATGCCTGAGGCTGAAAGATCATTAGCATATATTTAAATAAATTGAAAAAGAAGTTGTTGGGAAGCCCTAACTGGAAATTTTCATTTGGGCTTGGATTTTACGTTTCCCTGGAAAAATATATTTGTGATTCCATTTAACACATAACAGCGAATGCATTCAAATTAATTTACATTTTCCTTACCATACTTCCGTGCTTTGGCTCCTATTCCTGGTAGGGATAAAAACATGACACGTTATTAAAGAAATTACTATGTTTCATGAAACAAATGAGAACCAGTGAAAATTCATGTTTACCCTAAACTTACCTCCAGGATAGACACCACTACCTCCCGGTACACCCCCAGCACTAGGTATGCCTCCAATTCCAGGAATTCCACCTGCTCCAGGTACAGCACCAACACCAGGGATACCACCAGCTCCAGGAACAGCACCAGGGATACCTCCTGCTCCAGGAACAGCACCAGGGATACCACCTGCCCCAGGAACAGCACCAGGGATACCACCTGCTCCAGGTACAGCACCAGGGATACCACCAGCTCCAGGGACAGCACCAGGGATACCACCTGCTCCAGGAACAGCACCAGGGATACCACCTGCTCCAGGAACAGCACCAGGGATGCCACCTGCTCCAGGAACAGCACCAGGGATACCACCTGCTCCAGGTATAGCACCAAGGATACCACCTGCTCCAGGTACAGCACCAGGGATACCACCTGCTCCAGGTACAGCACCAGGGATACCACCTGCTCCAGGTATAGCACCAACTCCAGGTACACCTCCGACACCAAGTGCACCTCCGAGACCAGGTACTCTCCCGCCTGCTGCTGCAAAATTGATAATCCTATGAATTTCTTTGATGCTTGCTATGAGTTTTATTCTTTCCACAGTCGTTTATCACGAAGTTCTTGACTTACCATATTTAGCTGCTTTAGCCTGAGATTTAGCTGAGCCAACTCCTGAAAGGGATGAAAAGTGAAATAACAACAATGAACACAGAATAGAATTTAGTCATAGAAGGACACAGATAAAGCTCAGCGGCATGGCTCTAACAAGGTTGAGTTATGGCACACAATGTTCTCAAGCATTGTGTGGGAAAATGCAAAAAAGAAGACAATTGAAAGATTATGACGATAAACAAACCAAGCAAAATATCCAGGAACAGTTTGGCTCATTTTACTTGTGCATCACTTACTGGCAAGACCTGTAACTCTACCCTAGATCGATACATTACTAAAGAGTTATAAGGATGTTTAACAATATTTGCTGAGAATTATAGATTTGCTACTTGTATTGTGCATCGTGCATTACAATACCTCCAGACTTTGGAGAAATGAGTGGGTATCCACGGAACACTCCCGGAAGCTGTTGACCTGCAAAACTCCCGCGACCACCTGTTAAAAATAAAAAGAAAAGAAAACTAAATATCACTTTCGGTTCTGATATTTTGTGGGCTTTTATAGGTTGTATATATTTGTAAATGTTCTCACCGTTAGCTCCAAGTGCACCTTGACCAAGCTGAGCTACAGGAGGGACAACAATGATCAGATGATAAAAGATTATTCAGCAGACAAATTGTTGATTCCACTATTGAAAAAGTTCAAAACTCACAAGTCTGAGATCCTGTAGCTACGCCTGGCAGAACTCCTTGACCACCAAAACCTATGTGAGAGAACTTGGTCTAAATGTCTGTTGCAAACATTCTCAAAAAATCTCAAATATCATTAATCACTTCAGCAATACCCTCACCTTGCCCAGGGACAATACCACCCTGGTACAACCCAGGAACACCAATTCCTAGTTGAATAAAACAATAACATTTACAACACATATTTTGCATTTATAAACTTGGTGTGATGCTAAATAAAGCAGATACATAACCACCTGGCACTGGTGCTTTCCCAGGCTTGCCAATTTTACGTCCAGTACCTTGCGGTCCAGTCTGTGGCAGAACTGGTGCTATAGGGCCAAGGAGATTAGAGGAAGACAATCAACACATACACAGATATACACCAACCAGCTTAATTAAGTACAACACCTTGTTTCTACACTGTTTGTCCATTTTATCAGGTCCATTTTGTAGTTCTGTTATTACAGACTGCATGTTTTTGTTTCTCTGCATACTTTGTTAGCCCCCTTTCACCCAGTTCTTCAATGATCAGGACCTCCACAGGAAGGGCCACCACAGAACAGGTGTTATGTGGGTGGTTCTCAGCACTACAGTGACACTGACGTGATGGTGACGTGTTAGTGTGTGTGCGAGTGGATAAGACACAGCAGTGCTGCTGGAGTTTTTTTTGAAAGACTACAGGATGACCAACACAAACTGTGCAGCAACAGATGAGCTACTATCTCTGAATTTACATCTACGTAGTGGAACAACAAGGTAGGTGTGTCTAATAGGGTGGACAGTAAGAGCACACAGTATTTAAAAACTCCAGAAGCACTGTTCTGTCACTAACACTCACTGCAGTGCTGAGAATAATCTACTACTCAAATAATGGTGGTCCTGACCATTGAAGAACAGGGTAAAAGGGGGCTTACAGTCTGTAATTGTAGAACTACAAAGTGCACCTACAAGTAAGTGGAGCGGATAAAATGGACAAAGAGTGCACATTCAACAAGCAATACAATAAAACAAGAGGCATGTTTTTGTAGCTACCTCCAGCTGGACCAACTCCCGCTCCACCAGGGCCGACTCCCGCTCCACCAGGGCCAAATCCCGCTCCGCCAGGGCCGACTCCCACTCCACCAGGGCTGACTCCCACTCCACCAGGGCCAACTCCCACTCCACCAGGGCTGACTCCCACTCCACCAGGGCCAACTCCCACTCCACCAGGGCCGACTCCTGCTCCACCAGGGCCAACTCCTACACCACCAGGGCCAATTCCTGCACCACTTGGGCCAACTCCTGCTCCAGAAGGGCCAATTCCAACACCACTAGGGCCAACTCCGACTCTGCCAGGGCTAACTCCAGTACCTCCAGCACGGACACCTGTGCCACCAGGACGGATACCAGTTATACCAGGAGTGAGTCCTATGCCACTAGGTCTAGCTCCTGCACCTCCAACTAGTTCCTCTAGGTCCTAATGTGGATTTTTCTACTATTTAATGTCCTAAAGTTCTCAGCTGCTTTGAAACTACAAGCACCAAAAAATATCAAATAAGACCTGTCAGTGTCCTACCTGTTTTTGGTGGTTTTTGGCCAGCTCCAGGGTACAGGCCTACAGGGCCACCAACACTGCCATATCCTCCATAACCACCTGAGAGCAACAAATCAAATGCACTTACAAAAATATAAATATACCCATGCACATGACTTGTTCAGACAACACAGAGCCATTGGGTATATTGATTCCCACCGCAATCCAGATTTTGTGTTTTTGATAAATAGAGTGAATTAAGGATGCTTACCAGCTCCTACTCCACTAGGACCAAAGCCTATGCCAACTCCTCCTGGACCAACGCCACCTGGACCAACTCCTCCTGGAACAAGTCCACCTGGACCAACTCCTCCTGGAACAACTCCACCTGGACCAACTCCTCCTGGAACAACTCCACCTGGACCAACTCCTCCTGGAACAAGTCCACCTGGTCTAACTCCCGTGCCAATTCCGCCTGGTCCAACTCCAGTCTGGCCCAAACCTCCAACCATACAAAAAGCAATATTTTGAAAACTTTTTGAAAACAATTTCTGTATATATATATATACTCCATTAGAAGAAACACTATTATTTAATGTTTATTAATGTTCTTCATGCTCTCCTCTGCTATGGTATATAATGTTCTGAAAGAAAGACACAATCATACAACCACTACTACTGACCTGCTTTTGGAGGTTTCCCACCAACTCCTAAAAACAGAAACAGCAAATACTGTATTTTACAAAAAAAAAATTTTGTATCAATAGTAAATTTCTGCAACACTAAGGGCAGATATAGAAAACCCTGAAAGCAACTCTGTACAGTATTTTAGCCTAGTCTATAGTAACAACACCTCAATAAAAGCCAATAGGGTATAATTTATCAGAGTTATTAATTAATTAAACTGTCAGAAAATAATTGATTAAACATTTTTGTGTTTTATTTATGTAGAGCAGTACTAAAGTTTTCCAAGGGGAATAATATTTGCACCAAAAGGGTAACACATGGCTTAACAGTCTAAGAAGGAAATCAGAAGTTTTGACCGTAGTCTTCCTGAGCTTTGATCACTACTCACAAAGGGTTCAAGAACTGTACACTCACTTCCGTCAATCTAGTTTTGGATCAAACTGCAGTGACAACGTGGATTTCTATTACTTAAATTGTGATTCTGTCAGAAAATTCTACTGCAATTCCATGTAGTTTGAGACTAGTTGTTTATATGTACGATATCAGCATAACATATCTAACCTCTTCCAAAACCACCTGGTCCGACTCCTCCTGGACTCAGACCACCAGGACCAACTCCTCCCAGACCAAGACCACCAGGAACTACTCCTCCTGGACCAAGACCACCAGGACCTACTCCTCCTGGACCAAGACCACCAGGACCCACTCCTCCAGGGCCAAGACCACCAGGAACCACTCCTCCTGGACCAATACTTCCAGGACCTACTCCCCCTGCTCCAAGAGTGCCAGGCCCTCCACCAACAGGACCTAGACCCACACCCCTCCCTCCATATCCTGTTCAGCAAATAACATAAATCATTTTATGTTTTCTGTTAAACCTGTGAAATGTATGCAAAAGATAAAAACAGATGCTGCAAAAGATGTATCCTAGCATGCAGTTTGAATGAAGAGTCTATCTCAGGAATCAGCATTAGGCTGTTTAATCTGTTTAAGTCTTGGCATCTGCAAATAAAAAAATCCTCACATCAGTTGCTCAAATATAGAATAAAATGTTTCTCACCTGTCTTTGCAGGTTTCCTAATTCCTGTCAAAATGTAATAAAGTTTAATTATCAGTAAGATCCCCAGGAAAATAAACAAAAATATTGGAACCTCAATTATTTTTACTGAGCTAATGTTCCCTTACCTTGTCCAAGACCTCCTGGCCCTAAACCAGTGCCAGCGCCTGGACTGGTAACACCAAGCCCACCAAGTCCTGCACCTCCAGGCCCAACTCCTCCTGGTCTAAGTCCAGTGCCTCCTAGCGCACCAGTGCCAAGTCCTCCAGTGCCAATAACCTGACCACCATATCCCAGCCCTAGAGAGAACATACATGGGTAAATGAATCATTACATGATCTGCTGAAATGTACTGTTCTTGGATATCTATGTCTGCAAAGTACTCAAAAATATTAAGTAGATTACTATGGTTGTGTTCCGTCTCACCTATTTTCGGAGGCTTGACAGCAGCTCCTGGTAAAAACGTTGAAGATTGAGAGGGTTAAGTCTTGAAGAGCAATAACGACATGACAACTATTATATCCTATGAGGTGTAACAACCAGAATAAAATCTCAGATTGAAAGTTGTTCTTTTGGTAAAGGTCACTCATACTTTATCCACATAGAATACTGAGATGATTCTAGGAATGCTCAGACATAGGAATTAACAATGTATCTGCAAAAGGTAGAGATTCTTGAACTCTGGGTGGAAGACTTCTACCTGAAGTAGAATGGTTTGGCCAGCCCAACAAAGTCCATCCCCTTAAGAGCTTTGAACATTAGTTGTTAGTGAACATAAGCTTGGGTCGCTAATCAACCATGATATGTAGTCAATCATTGCATCTATTTGAGTTGCCTGAGATGTCTGCAATTGAATATCATTGCATTAAACTGACAGGAAGATAAGACAAAGCTATCCTTCCACACTTGGGAGCCCCTAGCCTTCCCTATTCTTGATCGTTTATTTAAATGGTAGATTGTTCAGAAAAGTTCTATAAATTTGTTTCAGCAAGGTCATGAATATTGCAAATTCTTTCAAAAGTCTTTAACCATCATTGTGAAGCAAATGGATCATGTAGTTGTCCCTGGTCAACTTTGTGAATAATCGTACCTGCTCCAGAGGGACCAACTCCTCCAGTGCCAATTCCTCCAGGTGCAATGCTTCCTGGACCAATTCCTCCAGGTCCAATGCCTCCTGGACCAACTCCTCCTGGTCCAATGCCTCCTGGACCAACTCCTCCTGGTCCGAAGCCTCCTAGACCAACTCCTGCTGGTCCAATGCCTCCTGGACCAACTCCTCCTCCTGGTCCGAAACCTCCTGGAGCAACTCCTCCAGGTCCGAAGCCTCCTGGACCAACTCCTGCTGGTCCGATGCCGGTACCCACACCACCAGGTGCAAACCCAACACGGCCACCATATCCTGTAATACAGTGCTACCCATTATTCTCAGTTACTCATGATGTTGTAGGAGTATTTGTTGATTCACAGCTACAATATTCTATGACACCCAAAATTATCACACAAGTGCAGTTGGTTACAAACCTGATTTGGGAGGCTTTACACCAGGGCCTGAGAACATGAAACAATAGACAGGTTACAGAGAAATTTCACCAAGACATACATTTGATTGTTCAGAAAATAATTCATCCTGGTGTTTACTGACAAATTATACTCAAAAATCAGAGCTTATCAGAACTTCTGCAAACCTGCTCCAAGGCCTCCAGTGCCCAACCCCCCAACGCCTAGTCCACCAGTTCCAACACCTCCAGTGGCTGGTTGACCTGCTCCGAGGCCTGCACCATAACCACCCGGGCCAACTCCTCCTGGGCCAAGACCTGGGCCAAATGCTCCAGTTCCAGCACCTGGCCCTCCAAATCCAGCTCCTACTGCACCAGGACCTATAATGAAATAACAAATCGTGGCTTACTTTTGAAAAACTTTTGTCTTTTACCTCTAAAACCAATACAAAAACAATTTGACTAAATATTACAAAGATAGAGTGTTATAAAAATGTGAAGGGTGTCACTCACCTCGTGCCTTCCCTGGCTTGTAACCAAGAATGCTGCCTGGTACTATTGAGAAAAATGGAGCGAAAAGTATAATGTAAAAGTGTGCATATTGTAATTAAAATTATATAATAAAAACATGATTAAGTAAAGTGATTAATTGTCTGTTTATGTCTATGTAAAATTTGCATTTGAGTTGTTTGTGCTTGTGGGTATATTTCGGTTTTTCTATCTGAATTTGCATGCCCAATTTTTAAGGCAACTTATTCAGTAACTGCATGAAATAAATGTAATTGTTTTTTTTTTGTAAAAGCTCCCCTCAAATTAACAGAAAATGTGTTTTATGATCATAAACATGTTGCTATATGCTTACATTTTATTGCTGAAAGCAAAAAAAATCTTGGATGCTCTTTGTATTTTTTATAAAATAATTTTTACAGTGCATATACCTGAAGAGACACCATCTGAGATCCAGTTTATAGTTCAGATTTGTGGAAAAATGGGTCAACTTTCAGTAGAAAAAAAAATTGAGTTCAGCTTCTTTTATTATAAGGGTTTAAAATTACATTACCCATCTATTTGACTGGAAAGAAGACAGTTACAGCTCTCATATGACACCCACTGTTTGAATGAAGCTTGTAAAATATGTTAGTTGTGGGGTAAAGAATATGACGAAGTGCATTTTGGAACCACCGGTGGTTCCAAGGAGTTAAAAAGGTTAACGTTGTTGACATTAAGCAGTAGCGCACATCGCCTCGGAGGAATGGGTTTTTAAAACCCCTATGTGGACCTTTACAAGGAAGAGGGTGTGCTAGAGAAAACAAACGCAATAAAAAAAACAACAAAAACATGATAATAAATAACAGATAATGATAAAAGTAATCCCACTGACGTAACATGTATTCAGTGTGAACCCCTTGGTTATCATCAACATTTGATTTTTGTTATTCAGTATTATTTCACTCTCCCCCCTTTCTCTCACAGTGGACTGTCCCTCTGTCTACAGCGCTCCTCACAGAGTTACGAGGTTCCCCGGTTTCCCGCCACTTTGCGCAGGTCTGGGTGAGAATCATAAAGACACAGAATGCGTTTTTTGGCAGCTTTAAAAATCTTACAAAAAACTTAACTGCAGACGGTATCGTCTTAGGAGCGTGGAAAATGGTGGAAAACGTAACTTAATGACATAAATACGGCAGAGAGGAGAGAGCGAGCTGTGTCGCGCTTGACGTCACGTCACTGGTAGATGACGTCCACGTCCTCTACACTTAAAGGCGGCTAAACCCGCTTGTCAAGAAAAAAATCTCGGTAAGTCGATATTGGCAGCTTAAATACTTTGAAAAAAAGAAAATGAAGGCTTTTCACGAGTAACGCGAGTTGACAAAAGGCACAGAGAGAGAGAGAGAGAGAGAGAGAGAGAGAGAGAAAGAGAGAGAGATGCACACCAGGGGAAGTAGACGTTAGCTAGCAGCTAGTGCAAACAGCGACAACAGAGAATAAATTTAAAAGTAGAAGAAGTCGTCTATTACCAAATAATTCATTAAATATATACGCTTAGGTTGTGAAAGATTTAGTTGTCTAAAGGCAAAAAAAAACTCCAGAGGCAGAAAGTTCATATTTCCTATGTATATAGGAAAGTAACACTAGAGCTCTTTATGTTCATTTAAAAGGAGAATGTCAACCACCTCCTGCTCCAGGGCCAGCACCCAGACCAGTCCCTGGACGGATTCCGGTCCCTATCCCTTCAGGGCCAAGTCCTGCTCCTATGCCAGGTCCAGCTCCAAGACCCCCTGCTAGACCAGTTCCAGTACCAAGTCCAACTCCAGCTCCAATGCCAGCCCCTAATCCAGCTCCAGCTCCTCCTCCTGCAGCTGGTATGTAGACTCCTACAATAGAAGAGCACAAACATTCACAGGGATTGAGTGGCTTGATAAGGGCTGATGATGAATGACACAGAATCTGTTGAAAGTACATAAATGGACAACTTTGGGTTTGTGCACTATAAAAATCTGCTCACTACAGAACATATGACCCAAAGAAATATTAATAACAATAATAGTCCTTAGTAATTAAGAAGGCCTTTCTATCAATCAATAAACTCAAATTTATAAGTGAAATAATAAAATCAAAGGAGGGAGTAAGTCTTATGGAGACTAATGGAGACTAATGTCCTATATTTAGGTGGCCTTGTCTAAGAAGTCGGAACTCAAGACTACTGAAACAAGCAAATCTTATAATATGAACCTCAGAGGACAACACATAGGTTGTTGCTAGATATGGAATACAATGACCTGTAATAGATCTTTAGCTCTGCTTTAGCTCTCCTTTACATGAGTAGACATGGTAATAAATATTCACATCCATGTACCTCACAATTAGTATTATCGCTGCTTCAACACTTAAATTGCATACTATTTTTTACCATACAGAAGTTCATAAAACACCTGCAACTGCAAATGAATCATCAACTTCAAAGATATGCTTTTAAATCCAAGTAGTGGACTTATTTCCTTATTTTCCTTGGAGACAGCAGTGCATGCTGTCATCAAGAGATGATAGTGATTTATGCTTTTGTTTAAATTCAGGCACAAACTAAACTACTTTTGAAGCCAAACAATCAGAATTATGTGTCTAAGCTTCAGAATTAGTTTGAGGGCAGGTGATTACAGAACATTCTGACCCTGGTTTGTGTAATCTCCTGTGACCATCCAACTGGAGAATTAAAATATATATTAAATTTCCAATTAACAGTTGCTAATGAAGTAGTAATCTTTACTGCATTACAAAAAGAGACATAAATCAAAGGAAACCTGTTTCTATATTGCAACAGTGTGATTATTCAGTGAGACATTTTATTTTGCTTTATTTTCTAATTCATGTAGACTGGTTCAGAATTACTTTTTTTTAAAAATTAAAAGTCCATAATCCAGCTTTCATAGAAATGCTTGTTCATATCAGCTTGTAATACCAAAATCTCTAGAATGTTTGAATTCCTTTTGCTTACATTGACATTACTATATTTATTTTCAATATTACAATTATTATTATTATTATTAGTAGTAGTAGTAGTAGTAGTAGTAGCAATAGTAGTAGCATTATTATTATATCAGTAATGATATGGTTAATGACCACATCACTGTTTTATTCTAAAACTGCAGACTGCAACAAAGTTCAGGGAAAACCAGTACTCGTAAACTATCCTCCAGCAATGCATCAACTGCCACAACAGCATTTCTTCAGCAGAATAAACTCCTTGACATTGTGCTACTATTTGGGAGTAAATCAAGAAATACCAAAAACAACACATGCAGAGCCTGGTTTTGGAAACAGAAATAAACTCTATAATGCTGACTAAGATTCTGTTAGTGGAGGATGCTGTATTTCAGCACACTCGGAATGTATGAGAGACAGAGAACACCTCTACAGTGGAGCAGGAACAGGGTCTTACCTCCTTGAAGTGAGGGGCCACACACAGCCAGCAGGACAAATCCATGCAAAAGCAGCACAGCCGTCCCCTTCGCCATCCTGCTCTGCAGTACCCCTCTGCTCTCCCAGCCTGGGGGTTTTATCCCCCCCAAAAACTCATAGATGTACACCCATGTGTTGAAAAAGGGAAAGAGGAGGGAAGGAGGAGTGGGATGTGTGTGTGTGCTGGGGATGGTTTGGATGAAGGTAAAAGATAGGGACTATTAATAATGAGACCCAACTCTGTGTATATTACACGTACACTTTAAGGCCCCCAAAGCAGCTTGAGAGAGAGAGAGAGAGAGAGAGAGAGAGAGAGAGAGAGAGAGCTGCCAACATCTCGCCCCACCAAAAGAAAATGTTCTGCCTGCCAGTTATTCTCATGAAGTCCAAGAGTATGCCATTTTTCTTCATTCTGTTGCTCTAGAGAAGAACCGAAACAGTCCAGATAAGGTTATTTCTTTAGTTTGTGCTGTTCCCCTGCATGTGGAGCTACATATGCAAGACATGCCAGTCAGTCTGTATTCATTAGAAACTTTCATTGACTCAAGAAGTGTTTGGCAGGTTGTTTTGATGAATTCATGAAATCATATCAGTGATGGAAACATACTATGTATCTAATTCTTCTTATGTCTTATGGATTCCTAAGAATTGACCACAGAGATTTGTGGTAATTCAGGATATATCATTTATTTTGTTAGCAAACTACTTTTGTTTCCCTGAAGAACAATAGATGCTTCTTTAGAGAAGTGTTTTTTGATTTTTAACATAAGTATAGGCTCTATACCGATTGAAGGTTTAGAACTGTATGTTCAAGCAAAGAACCATCTAGGAACCTGTATTTTTAGGAATGTAGGATTGGAGATCAAATACACCAGTTCCACTCACTTTTTCTTTTTTTAGTGGGGCTTGCACTCTGCTGGTATTACTGCCAACTTCTATGCTTTTGCAAAGAATCCAAGGGGGTTTCTTGGAAACGTACCACATTTTTCCCTCCTTCAGTTAAGTTTTAAATTTTGATTGTCTAGCTCTCCTTGTTTGGGCTATGAGCCTCCTGCCAAAAGGTCTGTGCAAGAGTACAAGTTGTGTTTTTAGACTTTTGGCAAGACTAAAGATTAGCTCATTGCTCCACTGATAGACGTATTCTGAAATCGAACGTAAAACCACGTTGGCTATATGCAGTGTATGTGTGTATGTGTTTGTGTGTGTGTCTGGTTGTCTGTCTGTTTGAGGATTTCTCACATAAACACCTTGCCAAATGGTACATCATAGGAAACAGTTATGTGCACACTTCATGTGCATATAATAATTCCTTTCCAAGATTAATATACAACAGGCATAAACAGAAACCAGGACCATAACAGTGTAGAAACACCAAGCTATTTTTTTTTAAAAGTCACAGGATACAAATATAGTTCTTACTCTGAAATACATCATCTATTTTCAGACTTTTCTTCAGCTGGAAAAAATCAACATGCCTTATTTGCAGTCTTACTGTTAGAACTCGTCAGATAATAGCAAGAGAGCTTTTACTGACTTCATTGAACAATGAAGTCAATAAAATATATACCTGCATGACCTGCAGGTATACACACACACACACACACACACACACACACACACACACACACACACACACACAGCCCTCAAGGATTGGAGTTGTGTATGTCAGTTCATAATTTTACTTATACACAGACCACGTTTTATGTTTCATTTTCCCCAAAATGTTAAATTCAGCAAATAAACAGTAATTTAAATTTGCAGCATGTTCTCTGTTGAGAATGTACACTTTTTTCATGCAAATTTACCAAACTGTAATTTGACTAGGATTGCCACTTCTGCATGAATATATATATGTATATATACGTGTGTGTGTGAGAGTTAAAGTATACACTGTATGGCCAAAAGTATGTGGACAATTGACCATCACACCTATTTGAACTTGCTGGACATTTCATTCCGTAACCATAATACAACCATGGCTCTGCAGGTCACTGAGCAGTTCACGTAGTGATCTTAAGCTTGTGTGCAGCTGCTCGGCCATGGAAACTCATTTCATGAAGCTCTAGATTCACATTTCTTGTGCTGATGTTGCTTCCAGAAGCAGTTTGAAACTCTGTAGTGAGTGATACAACAGAGGACGGGTAAGTTTTCATGCTTCAACAATCTTATTGGTCCTAGACGCTTCCATTTCACAAAAATAGCACTTATGGTTGAATGAGGCAGATCTGACTTGTCAAAGGTGGCATCCTATCACAGTGCTGTGCTTAAAGTCACAGAGCTCTTAGTGTGACCCAGTGCCATTAAGCCAATGTTTGTCTATGAAAATTGTATAACTATGTACTACACCTGGTCGCAGTAATTAGGAGGGGTGTATGCATACATTTGGCCATATAGTGGATAGATGCACAAAGTATCAATGCTACGTGATGAATAATACTACCTTTTTAAAAAATAAAATATATGATCATTTACACGTCAGCTGTTATTTTTTTTTAGAAACTCATAGTCAAAAATGGTTTCAAATAGAAATACAGCATTTTTATATAAATGCATATGTATGTATGTATGTATATATGTATGTATGTATATAAAACACTGCAATTGCATTGGGTAAAACACATTAATAAGGAGTTGTACCTCTGCATATAATCACACACCGATATCCAAACCAGACGCTTTTAAAAACAAGTAGTGAAATATGTCTGGCCTGGCTGAAAACTGATAAGCCAGTTGTGCACTGGCCATTGACTGGACTGACTCAGCCGATGTCTAAGGTGGATTTGGTATGCAGTGGGCCTGGACTTTGCAGAACACTATAAGCCTTTAATGTAGAACCCTGTAATCCCTTAATTGGACACAACAGACTGCTTTTATTGCCTTGCTTGAAACATGACTGAAACCATTTTTACATGTACAGTTTCATGGAGCAGCATAGTTATGTGACGAAATAATCATGGAATGAAAACAGAAAACGAGCTGTGCAGGGGAGATATTTCTCTGTTGAGCTGATAAGAATGGAAGAATTACTGGGCATATACTTTGAAATGTGAAATACATTTCAAGCATATACATGGTTTCATTTATCCACAAGCAAATAATAAAATACATTAAACAATAAACCATCAAAAAACAACGCAATTTACATACATTGCATAAATCTACAGGTAACTGACAAATTCAAGCAAAAAAACAACAACATGAACAGTTAAACTGTACTAGAGGGCTGGAACACTATTTTTCTAAAAGATATTCCTTTAGATGTTTTTGATGATGGTAGTTGAGAGTGCTGTCTGACACGTTAGTCAAAAATCTCCAACAGATATTAAATTGAGTTGAGATCTGCTCACTGTTTTTGTTGTGTACATCAAACATGCACTTGCCAACTCACTGTAGCAAAATTGAGGTCAACTGGGTCTGCTCAGCATTTTTAATCATTCCACAAAGCTTGGTAGGATGTTAATTGCTTAATCTTACAGCCAGGGGTGGAAATAGGCTGGAACACACGCAGCACCCTAACATTTAGTAGGTGCTTATCTAAGGTGTTCTTAGTTTAATTTTTAGAAAATATCTATAACTGATTAGCTCATGATCAAATTAAGTTATGTTTTAAAAAAATCAAAGTGCCCGATTTTGTTCCTTTTTCCAGACTGTTCTTAATACATTTTCATGGTCTCCATGGGGGGCATTAAGGACGCTAGTCTGCAACAACCACTCAAAAGTACAGTTGTTGGCAACATTACACTCAGGATTTGAGTGTTATTTGTTTTCAGTTAAGGTCAGAGACAGTCAGGCTTTCAGCTCTTGAAATGTCCTATTATGTTTAAGAATTTTAGGATGTCTTCACATGTTTTGTAAGGGGACTATCAAAAAAAGAAAAACAACAAAACTAAGATTCTCCCATTAAAACCATTTTCACCTTGCTTGCAATACACCTGTCTGGAAGCACACTTCTGCATTCATTAATATTTCTCTGTTAAACATTATTATTAATCTGGATAACAGGAATTCGCTCAGTTGATTTTAATCACCTGATATAAACATCTGCAAATTTCTTTTCTTCATTCTAATTGAAATGATCTACTCCCGACTCCTGGACACTGTCAAACCCTCACACCACCCCAGACACACACACTTACAGTTACGTACTACATTTTCTTGTATGTGCCGAGCGCTGTTCTCCTTTTGCCAGCTCAAAGAGGCATATCGCAGTTATGAATAAAACTGTCGACTGAGAAGTGCCCATTTTCAGTTTACCTAATGTCTACCTTGCGTTTACCTAATGTCTGCTGCCTATATAAGGACCTGCATGCTGCCTGGGTCAACTCCCACAGGCTCTCTTCCCAGTTAACAAGGCAGGGCAGAAAAGTGCTTTGGTTTTGAACAGGATATCAGAATTGGGTCTTAAGGCAGCTTGAGACAAGTTGGCATGAATGCTGACTTTCTCAGGCTGCATCTCTTGTAAAGGCCAGTCTTCATAGTTGAGCCAGGGTCAGAGGGTATTCTGCAGAAATCAATAAGACACATGAACATGCTATGCCATAATCATAGTTAATAAATGCATTGCTCTGCTTTTCAGCTGCTTTTATCTCGATCCACTGCATTGCCGAGCTGGCTCTGGCCCATCCCCTTATTTGGCCTATTATATTCGACTGTTCAAATAAAACAATAAGCCACTGTGATTTTACCAGTTTTGCAAACTGACTTAGAGTTACAACACTAACCAAATGCAATATGATATAAGGTGGGATTTTACTGTTGTCAGTATAAATGTGCACTGTTTTTTAATTTAAATTGTTGTTTAGAACTGAGAAAATATCACATGTTTAGAATGTGACAAAATATCATGTCTTCTCATAGCCCAAGTTTGATTCTTAGTGATTCTTAGGTGTGGTAGATTTTGTACAGCTCAGAAATAAAGACCAGGCAAACAGAAATTGTGTTATTGGACAATATGACCATAGAGATTGGAAAAATGTAAGAACTGGACTAGACTCCAATTTGCTTGATTTGGTCTGCACAAACATATGTAGTGAGTTTTATGAGGTAAAAGTTTTAGACCTGACAGTTAAAACAAAGGTTGATTCAGAGCAAAGACGTTACAGAAAACTGTCTGCCTCACGTAGTTCCACATGTAGGATGAATGATGTGGTGTGAGTTTATTAGAAATAGACCAGCTGACATGCAGAAGGAATCACAATGTAAT